TTTAATAAAAACGTTTCATTACAAATCAATTATCAGCAAAGTCGATTGATTTTTGAGTTTACAGCATTTATAATGACCTCCATGAACTCTCTCAGACTGTAAGGCGTGACGCAGCTGTGGTTCTGTAGGAAAGCCATTCGAGACGTCATCAGCTCACGGTGAGCCCATTCCTCCCTGGAGGACTCCAGCCAGCCGAACACCAGAGCTCCCAACACCAAATACAGCAGCACGGCTGCCAGGATGGTCAACAGTGTTGAGTACCGCATGGCTACGAGGGGCTGGCGACGTCAAACAAGATGCTGCATACTGTGGATGAATGTTGTGGAAACACTGACAATCATGTGTCCATCAGGTAAGGTGGAGCGAAGAGAAGAACGTCAAGGGGAATGGTCACAATAATGACATTATCTCTGGGTATCATGACAAAAGTATTTGGCAAAAATAATTTGGAGTCACTCAAAAGTGTCATCAAATATCTGAATCTCATTGCACTAGATCACAAAATATAAAACAAAAAGTGACTGAACTTCTTTTATGTGAAAAGTTCAGCTTGAAAAGTGTTACATGTAACCTTTCTTTTGCCTTGACATTCATTTTTGTTTAAGAGCGTCCTTAAGTAGCAATATTTCTAAGGTCACGGTATATGTAATAGAAAACAGAGATTAACTATTTACCTTATGCAATAAGGTTTTCCAAATCCACCGTTTTCTCCTTCTCCTCCTCCATATCAGATGTTTACTATAGTGGTTTACACACTCTTCTTTTCTCCGTACAGCCTCTTTCCCTGGCCCGCACAAAAACCTGTGACAAATAATGGTCAAAAATGCTCTAGACAACCTGAAACTGACTCCAGATCAGCTTTGAGCTTTAGGAGGCTTGACCCAGTCCAGACACATAACAGGAGAGCGGTAAAGGCACAGAGGTAGACAACACATGACGCCATTGAAACAGAACTTCTGGCAAAGGTCTATGAAAACAGATTGTTTAACGGCCCTCTGACAGGATCTTGATGCTCACCAGGGCTCTCTAGGACCTGCTTTGTAGATGCATGGTTACCGTATATTATGGTACAAATTATGTTGTCACTTTCTGTATTTGCAATCAGTTTTATTTTACCGTGTTCCGTTTCATATTGCATTTATATGCACATAAATAAACTTTTTTTCCCAGTGGAATAGAAAAATAAAATACTTTTTGCAAAGAACATTGAATGGTTACGGCTCTTACAAAATGGCATAGCTGATGGGTATAACAAAACAACGCTTACATATTTTATTTATTAAATTAAAATGACTTTGGTATCACAGATAACAGACTTAAGTATGTTTAAAATAGATGTTTAAAACACAGTGCAGTCCAACATACCTTGCTCAATCAAGTAGCTACTGATACATCATATAATAGGCTACAATTGCACACTTTTTATATTAAGTTTTTTTTAAATTATTATTCAAGTTCATTCAAAATAATCTTCCAATTCAAAGGAAATTACTATTGTTGTTATTTTATGAATATTTGAAATGCAACAGGCACTAAACAGTAACTGTTTACCTTAGGATACTATCTACTTACAAATACTCATTAATGTGTATAATCCTTTACGAGGCATGTTCGTGAGGGAATGTTCTCTTACCTTAGCGCGCGGTTCCGTCGGGAGTGTGTGACGGTGAGGAGTTCCCTTTCTCCAGCAGAACACTGTGAAGATACACACACTCATCAGGACTTTCCCCATTCCCAAGTCTTACGTGAACCTGCCAACATGAGAAGAAAAAGAGCAGGGGAAGAGACCGAGAGAGGAGGGGAGGAGAGAGCTCGGTTCGGCATACACACTATTGAAAGCTGACAGTTTATCAATCTGTTTCAAGTGTTTAAAACATTTTTGTTGAGCACTCTTCTCTTTGTATGTAAATCCCTGTGGTATGTCATGATTTAGATTTTTTTGCATTTTATAGGCTTCAAAGGCATAAAAACTTAGGAGCAGTGTTCATTGCTGTTATGATGAATACAAGTGAAGTTTTCACATATTATAATCCTGGATGCTGATTGGTTAATGCATAGAGCCAGCAAAAGGCTTAAAGGTAAGGTAGGCCTTTTTTTAATATATATAAACAGTTCTAGTATACTGATTGAAACTCTCTTCCCACCCTGATAGCAATCAATAATAGAAGTGGTCTATATATTAAAAACATGTACATAACATATCTTCTGTGGAATTCTCAGGACCAAAAAATGTTTGTCCAATCACTGCATTCGGTCCGACATCACACGTCATCAGCGCATTACGTAAGACTGTGCAGAGTTGTAGACACTGGGTGATTCTCAATACTCAAATTGACGCTTCCATGTTTCCTTGCTCCTCCGTCTGATTCAAAGTTAGCCATCTTGAAGGACAACTCAATTCTCTAATTGTACCGCGAGGAACGAGGAGTGAAGAAGCTTCCTGAGGAGCTATGAGAGAGGATTCACAGGTGTATTTCTGCCGAGAAACCTGATGCACATATAAATTCTCCTCCCCCTTCACTTCGGTCACAATAATTTTAATTTATGCTTTACCTTTGCAGTTTAAATAAACCATATATCACACATATTTCAACAGGACATTTTGCTTTATTTATGAATTTCTAAAATAAGCAAACTTCTACATAAGGGCAGATCCCTTGAGCGCAGCTGATGATGCTGTGAGGTGACGCTCAAGTGATCAAGAATATTCCTATGGGCTATATGCACGCATAACTTCCGCGTTTGATGCAAGGATGCTCTTGCGTTTCCGGTTGGGGAGATTTAAAGCGGAGGAAAACCGAGGAAAACGGGATTATGGCAGAGTCTTCAAAATGTACTGTCCTCTCGTCTGTGAAACGAAACTTAAATACGTTTAGATGTAATTTTATATATAGTTATGTTTATTTAATATAATAAACAAAGAAGCATAAACAAAAATGAGGGGTGTCTGTTTTTGTGACTAACGTTTCTTTAGTATAGCAATAGAGTATAAAAACCAGTATAAATTCTCGGTATAGCATTGGACTCTACGATCTGCGGAAGTAATCCAGCATCCTTAGACCTTCACCGGAAATACCGCCGTGCATAGAGCCATACACAAATAAGATGATTTCCTTCAATTCCTCAATCCTCATTTTCTCTATTTGCAGCCTTCCCTCGCATCCTACAGGGGGTGGAGCTGAGACGCGAGGAAAGGAAATGAGAAGCACCCACAGTCATAAAGAGCCACAAACCAACAGCAGCCACATTTTACAGTTCCTCCTGGACCAGAACAAGCTTATACTGCGTTCACACCATGTCCCAACTGTAATTATGATGGCAACCCGACGCTCATGTCCTCAGACTCATATTTATGCGTTTCTACACTATCAACGGTGAAGTGAAGCTGCATCAGTCAGGTGGTACAAGCAAGAGCTCTAAGTTATTTACATTCATTATTATTGTAATGCTATGTGCGTTGAGACATGAGGTAATTTAACACCGTCTCTCGTCTTGTGACACTTTGCAGACTCTGCAGTGTGTGTTGTGTGTTTTGAACGAGGTGTGGTTTTGGAGACGCTCTGAAGGGAGGGTGTGAGCTCATGATTTCAAAGCTAGCTCGCTATTGCTAGCTTCTCTGAAATTACCTACCCTACCTTTAAAATGAATTATAATTCACATCAGAAATGAACAATAATAAATGCACAAAAAATAACATTACGATGTCCAGAAATGAATTTTAGTATTATGAGACAGAACTCGTTTAAGGTGATTGTTTCATCCTTACATCTACTATAATACAGTATGTTGTTAGTCTTGAGAGTATTTACATCAATGATTACCTCTTTGACTGGTGGTATAATTTTTGTTAAGCTTCCCAGAGGTTCTGGGCTCTAAATTAGCCAGTGTTTTTTTTTTTTTTCTCATTAAACCCAAAGATGTTCATCAGTGATTGTATATCAAGAGCAGGGAATGATGTCAGCCATGGTGATGACCCAGCTCTAAATGGACTAGATGTCTGTCATCTGTGGACAAAAGCTCAATGGTAAATCAACGTCAAACATGAAAGCTCAGAATTCAAAACATTCACTGTAAGGACCGCAATGGGCCCTCTGGGTCCAGCCAAAGCTCAAGAGAGAACAAACAGAAGTCCCCGACCGAGCTGATGTAGAGACCAAAATGGCCTTTAAATCCTTTAAAAGCTCTGATATGGGATATCACATCTCTAGACATGCCTTTGATTTCTGCTCCAACAATGACTAACATTTTGCTTTTGAAAATACAAGTGCATAACACCATGTTCATGAGTTATCTGAATCTATTATTACATTAATCTGCAAAACAGGTTGTAATTTAACTGTGGACATTACTTGTGATTAAAGCAGGTTTGTGTGATGCCAACAGTCCTTTTTTTTTCTTTTTTTACAGACGAATAGAAATTTTGTAAAGCAGAGAACACGGACTCTTCGAAAAAACCTGTTCAGCCAAAAGACACAAATGGAGAATCTTTAAAAACACAGAGATTGGATAACAGTTGCTTATACTTAAAGCATATAGATCTGCTGCACATGAATCTTAAAAGTCTGATGTAAAATAGTATTTAATGTAACTAAAGTATGGGGTAAAGCTGGTTTCAAATTCACAAATAAAATATATGGAAATTAACAAATAAATAAAATGAGGTCTACAAATAAATGGCTTTTCACACAAAAATAAAGTAAAGCTGACTAAATTTGAGTGTAATTTGCAACAATGACTGGCTGATTTTATTATATGGCTACTTACCAAACAAATCAATATAAAGATATTGTCAAAAATATTTGAATATGAGAAGTGCGGATACAAAACAAAACAAGCCTAGCTTTGCAGGAGATTATAATGTAAAACAAGTGTATCTGTCATTTCAAAAATTAAAAAAGTATTTCAAAGACCCATGTAATAATGCAAATTACCCAAAGAACTCCCAAATTAAGCTTGCACAAAGTTCTAGAATGCAAAAAAGAAAACCACCCATCAACATGGACATTTGGGTTTCATTTACGTTTAATAAATGTAAACATTCCTAACTGAAAATTCTACAAACCATTTGACATTTAGAAGAAACGTACACACAAATACTAAGATGACAGTGAATTAGATAAACAGATTAATCTAATCAAAAATGTATCCATTTCTCAAACCTTCTCAAAAGCTTCATTACAAACGGACAGTGATATAAATACTCCACTGTGCGTTATAAAGCTGTTAGATGACAGAGAGAGAGAAAGAAACAGTCTGACAGTGAATCGCCATACAAGGAACGGAAACAGGCTCAGGTTGATCTGAGTCATACCACACACACACTCACTCTCTCTCTCTCACACACACACACTAGTGCACAAAGGCAAGTTTTCAAAAAGTGTCTGTCAATAAATAAGGCTATTCACAAAATTCAAGTCTCTAAAAGAGGGGCTATCGCCACCTTTACGCAAACAAAAATATATTACATTGGTATTTCAAAGCTAATTTGTAAACGGCTCCATTACTCAAACAAAACTATATGACATCAATATACACAATAAGGCACTGCCTGTCAGCTGATGAGAACCACCAAGAAAAAGAGAGCGCAAAACTTCAAATTCTACATCACATGACAGGGCAGGACTCTCGAGCGTCTTGGTGATCAGATGACATCGTTGACGCTTACAGTAGGATTAAAGAGGCAGTGAAATTCCTTCAGTGTGGAAACCTGGAAACAAAAACAGATGATGCTGCTCTGAAATGTGAATTATATTAGTATAACCAGTGGAAATGACTTCAAATGCGTCTCTAGATGTGTTTCAGAGCAAGCACAGTAAATACCTACGGGAGGTATCAGGTGTGTGTGAGTACTATGGCTCTATTTCATCATCTTTCTCTTGGGGCGTGGCTTCTCTGCGTGGGAGGGGCAGTGCATCAGTTCCCAGAAGCCCCCTGCGCAGGACATACGGACAAGCGGGTCCACTGGGGATGTCAGCAAATCCTTCAGGAGATAAAAAGGTGCGGAGACCATTCAGTCTTATAATAATGAAAACAAAAAGAGACATTTTGAAGAATGTTCACGCTACTCGGTTTCCCTTCTTACCCTTCATGACGACCTCGGGCAGGCCGTACGGTTCATATTCGGTCTCGTCGTACGCGGCAGACATGCGGGTGCGGTTTTGCCGGATGCGTTCAGCAAGGTGAGCTGGGTCGCTCATGGGGAACACGCTGGATAAGAGCAGTTGGTTCGTAACAGTCTGTGGGGCCAGAGAGAGGGGCGGCGAGTCTGCAGACTCTTTATCGTCTTCATCTTGCTCCGTCTCCAGCTGTTCTCCATCTGTCTGGGTGCAGGCATGGATGGGGGAATGTTTGTCCCTCAAGTCCAGCTCACGGCTCTCCTCTGTCTGAGTGGACACACTCTTCACCTCTGTTCTGTTAGAAACGCCAATGACCTCGCTAACCTCTGCCCTTTGACCGTGAGCTGGCTCATTCTTGAGTGTTTTTTCCACAGTAGCATGTTGTTCACTCTGTTTATTTGAAGTATCTCCATGACAATGCCCTTGTTTTTCCAAACCAACAGTTTCTATAGTTTCAATCTCATTATGCCCACTGCATAACACATCAGAATTCTGGGAGTCTGCAGTCTCACAGGACTCTGTGATTGGATTTGAGTTGATTACCTCCGTCTGATATTTGGTTGAGATGGAAACACTGATTAAGGCATCGTCCTGGCTGTTCGCACTGGCATCTGCTGCTTTGGTCTCATCCTCGAGAGACACTGAGGCAATCGGCTGAGACTCTGAATTACTGTAATCTGTTGGTTTGGTCAGTAGAGGGGACAGCTTGTCTTCAGTGTTACTAGTCATTATATTTGAGACACAGACAGGAGGACTTTTGTCGCTGTGGTTGGCAGAGCTGCTCTCGCATTCGTGTTGAGCATGTCCTTCGGTCATCCCCTCATTTCCAGTCATAAGGTTCTGAAAACAATTACAGGAATAGGTCTGTGATCATTTGAAAGGCATTCTATCATAGACAAAAAAAAGAAAAAAGGAGAAAGGTCTATAGTCATTTACTCGCCATCATGTTCCAAATATGGATGCCTATATAAGGGATGCACGATTTCTTTTTTGGGAGGGGATATCTATAGGTGATTTTTCTGATAAAAATTGTGATTGCGATTTAAAAGGCAATTTAAAAAAGCTCCAGGTTTGCTGTGCTTGTTTGTAGGGCGGAACAATGTGGGCTAAAATGTTGTGGTTATATTTCATCATCAGTAGAGTCGAATTGGATATGATTATTAAAAGCTAAGAGCAGCTGTTTTATCAGATTTTTTTTTTTTTTTTTTACAATCAGATACCAAAGGATAGCACATCAATTCTGTTTGGGGGTTCAGGGTTGTCATCTTGAGAGAAACTTTTGAAAAATGTAAATTCAATGTAAATCAATCTGGACCACTTTTATGCTTTCCTTAAAATAAGAATCTACGGTAACGCTTCCTTTTACAGTCCTGTTACCCATGTACTTACTATGTACTTATTACAGTAATTATAATTACTGGGTAATAACTAGGTACTAACCCTGAACCTATCCCTAAACCTACCCCTAACCCATGTACTTACCTTATATTAGCCAGTACTTTCTATGTACCGTATTTTCCGCACTATACGGCGCACCGGATTATAAGGCGCATAAGATACTGCAGTCAAACGTTTCACTGGGTTTGCGAATGCATCCACTAGATGTCAACAAATGTCAACAAAAAAGTCAAACTTTATTAAGCTTGGATGTCAACAAATGTCAACAAAAAAGTCAAACTTTATTAAGCTTACTGACAACTCCGTTCACTCCCATGGTAACGTTGTTCAAACGTTAAAGGAAAACTCCGGTCAATTTTAGCATTGAGCTCATTTTTTGTAGATTTGGAGTGCTGTCAGTACAGATAACAACGACAAAAAACGGTGTTGCCTACACCGTGTTATCCTCTTTTTAAAATCTGCACCCTGTTGACTTAAACGGGACAAGTTTTAAACCTGCTTTTAGCCTCTTAACAACCTTAATGTGTCATTAAGTTACAAGTGCACAGCCATGTGAGTGAACACGGTGAATCTGACTGCAGTAAATGTGAAAGATATGAATAAAAATGATGTTTATTCAGCCAGCTCACATACCCGTATTTTCTTCCTGTTTTCGGTCGAAGTCCACAGTAGGCGATTGTCGAGTGCGCGATCATTGGTAACTAAGCAACAGTGGAGACTCAGACTGTCAGCTGTCAGCCGATGACGGTGCTGTGTGGTGTTCTGAGAATATCAACTCAAATGGATAGTTCGGATAGTTCATCCGAGTCAGATGTTGAACACACGGAGGAGGTTTGATCGCGCGCGCGCAAACTCGTCAATCAACTACTGTGGACTTCAGCCGAAAACAGGAAGTAAATACGGGTATGTGAGCTGGCTGAATAAAGAGATTATTCCTGCCTTCGTGAAAGCTCGGATCACAGTTGAGACTGATATATCAGCCCAGGCATCCACGATCCATTGGCAGATAGTGGCGTAAGTCGCCCGGCGCTGTCTCTCCGTCTTGGTGAACGTGTTTTCACCATCCAAATATAAGGCGCTTCGCATTATAAGGCGCACTCTCGTTTTTTGAGAAAATAAAAGGCTTTTAAGTGCGCCTTATAGGGCGGAAAATACGGTAAGTACACGTAAGTACTGTACTGTAAAATGAAGCGTTACCGAATGTACAAACAACAATCAAACAATGTACACATAATCTAATAATAATCAAGGCAATCTCATTACAAGCAGAAACAAAATTAAGCTAACTAGTCATTTCAAAGTTTCAGTTGTGCATCCATGCCAGAAATTATGATCTCTAACTATTTTTCCCAATTAGAACATTTGTTTATTATAAAATGCTCTTAATATGCTAATAAATAATGCTAAACGAACATGGAAAAATGCCTAGTCTTAAACCACCACGTCATTGATCATTCAACTAAACTAAGTTAGTCATTGATATATATAATTTTTTTTAAACAATTTTACTTTGCTTTTTAACAACTATCAAGTACCATTCACTTTCATTGTGCATTCTGCTAAATTTCTCCTTGTGTTCCACAGAAGTCAGGATTGAAGCAACATGAGGGAAAGTAAACAGTACATTTTCATTCTCGGAAAAGTACAGTTCAACACTTTCACCAGTTCAACAATTTCCCATATGTAAATAATGCCATGCGTTATGAAACGTTATTTACCTCAGCAGGCCCTTGAGATTCCCTCACATCATGTGTCATTTGGGTCTCAGGTGACACATGCTCCCCCAAGTTGGTCTGGTCGTTTGTGTCATCTAATCCAGACCGATATGTCACGTCTCCGACAGTGCACCGCCTGCTGTAGAACCATGATGCACCAGAGCACAAACTGAAGGGTCTTGCATTAAGGGTCCTACATAAACATCCCTCACTCACTGAACCTGTGTTTACTTTCCCCATCTCAGAACCAACATACCCATAATTCACGTTAAGTACCTCGCACTGCCTTTTAAATGATTATGAACAAACACAATTTACATTTCTATGTCGCTTATCACATAATTATCTTCAACAAATGCCAGTCAAGGGACATTACCTTGTTGTTCGGGACTGCGTTTGCAGCTTGCTGGGACTGCAGGGGAGGAACAGCTCGAACTCTTTTAGCACGATGGAGGGCGAGTTGTTGCCCACTATTTCTTCCATGGTCGAGAGCTTCCAGAGTTCTAGTTCTTCAGCTTGTGTCCTGTTCTGCTCAGAGAGGTGCTGGATTTGGTCCTGTAATGCCTGGATCTTTAATATGAATTTAAAAAAATAATAATTCAACATAAAATACATGTAAATACATGCAAATAAAGTAAACGTTTTTTAACAATTAGTTAATCTAAGTAACATAAAGGGTTTTAATACTAATAAGGGTTTGACGCTAAACATCCAAGAATGCTGTTTTCTGGGATAAATGCGCTTGTTTTATATGCGTAGCCTACATATGATGGTATTTGACTATCTGAGAACTCATGAAGAGCTTATAAAATGTATTAAGGAGTCAAAACAGCGGCAGGAATCCCTCCTTCACACACACACACACACACACACACACACAAACAAAGATCTGCTGCAAGGAGACATGGGCAAACTCATGACTATGACGAGATAACACAGGCATGCTTGAGCATTCTATCCTTTTTAGGGTCGCATCTTGTGACATGTCCTGTTTTTGGTTCGTTTACATGTCTTTGGTCCGTGTTGCGTTCATATTTCAGTTAAACCGCACCAGAGAGAGTTCGTTTGGAAGTGGATGAGACCCATCTTTTCAGGGATCTCGGGTCTGCTTGTTTGGTGCACACCAGGGTTCGGATGGCAATGTCACTTATTCACTTATTCAAATAAACCGCACTTACAGCGCAATCGCACCGGAGTTCGTTTTAATCTAACCAAACATGCCAAGTGTGAACACACCCTGGCCAGAAGATCATAGGACAGTTCGTTAAATTTGTGATGTAATGCAAGTGGCGAAGGATCGATTATTTCGTATTGTGATGTACAAAAAAAAAAAAAAAAAAAAAAAGTAGGGCTTTTATCCATCAGCTGTTGATTGGATGGAGGCAGACCTGAACTCAAACTTGCAGTCGATTGTAAGAAAGGGGTGTGGTTTAAAAGGTCGCATGTCATTAGAGAGAAGTCTATCGTTTCAACAGAAGATTGAGTTATGACATTTTGATTAAAGATTATAAAATTGATAAGGTGACTTCCCATTTCGTACCAAGTTTTTTTTTTTTTCTAAAAGAAGAAAATTTCCATTTTACTAAAAATTACCTGCTCCTGAAGAGAATGAACCTCTGCTTTAGAGGTTTCATGAAGAACAACCAACTCCTCCTGTCCTAATGAGGAGCTGGTTTGTAATCCTTTGTTTGTACTGGACAATTCTTTGTTTTCAGTGTTCACTAAAAGCAAGGCATCTTGTTCCGCACAAGTGTCTTTGCCCAACTCTTCATTCTCTCGTTTAACAGTCAGAAGCTCTTCCTTTATCACACCTCCCTGTAAAGAAAGCTCCAAATTCTGAGACTTTAACACATTCAGCTCAAGTTGAGTGACTTGTAATTCCTTTGTTACTTGTTCTTGCTCCTTGATATCATCTGTGGAAGGTTCTGGAATGGGATGTTGGAAGTTCAGAACATCCAACTGTTCATCTGGCAAGAGAGAACTTGCATTCTCTTCAATCACCTCAGAAAGTCCTGGTGCTTCTGAATCTGCACTAGAATTTGGAGCATGTTCACAATGTACGTCTGAAGCGGGACATGATTCATGTGGCTTGGAAGCTTCAGTTACTTGCAGCTTATCAGATATCTCACTAGTGTTGGTTTGATCAATGTTTTGACTAACAGAGAGTTCCACAAGCAGCTGTGCAGAAGGCTGAGAGACCTTCTCCTTCAAAATCAGTTGCGTATCGTCACTAAACATTTCATGGTCACTTATACTCGTGTTGCTGAAGACAGAATCGCAGCTTAGTTCTCTTGACATCTCTGTAGAGATGTCATTGGGGGTGATGTCCACCCTAGTGTGTTTTTCTTCAAGAAAACTGATTTTCTCTAGACATTTGTGCAGTTCCACACCCTGCTTCTGGAGAGCGCATTCTTTATCATGCAACTCTCCCAGCAGGTTCTCGATGTGCTTGCTCTGACTTTCAAAAGCTTGGGTAAGGTGCTTAGTCTGAGTGGTCACTTGCTTCTGTAAGTCCTCCAGCTTTCCTTGAGCTAGTTTCGCCTTCTCCGACTCTCTTTCCCTCGCCGCCCTTAAGCGGTCCACCTCCAAAACTAAAAAGGTAGTGCTGTCCAAATCTGAAGCATCTGTGCTCAATGCTCGAGTCCTGCCTGTCTCCGCAGCTGAGGTCTTGTCCTCTGTTGGTTTAGTTTGTGCTCCAAGATCCATAATTGTTCTGGTTTCTTTGCAGACTTTTGCATTGTGAAGGTTCACAGAATCACAGATGGACTCTTGAATGTCATTCTTATCGTTTGGGTGGTGTTCTAGTTGTAAATATGTGACGGGAAGATTGTCTTTTGATATTTTCTCCTCTAAACTCCTAGACTTTTGAAGATTGTCCAGCTCTTCTTGAAGCTGTGCAATCTTTAGTGCTTCTACTTCCTCTCTTCTGATCTGCTTCCTTTCCTCTTCTCTCTCCCTCTCTCTTTCCTCCCGTTCCTGTGCAAGCTTGAGCTGAAGGTCTTGCAGGTCCTTTTTCATTCGCATTATTTCTTCCTCCATGTCCGTCTCCTTTCGCTTCATCTCAGCCAAGACGTTCTTCAGCTGGGTTCCTTCTTCCTGGCCTCTCTCCTTCTCTTCCAGCCTCATCTCAGCTTCTCTTTCTAGTGCATCAAGTGTTTCTTTCAGTTTCATGCTCTCCTTCTTCTCTTGTTCCAGCTGGGTTTCCAGTTTCGTCACACTGTCTTTGAGCTCAAGAGATTTGGCGCGTTGCTGCTCTGTCTGGATCGAGTGCTTGCGGCTCAACTGTTTCAGTTTGGTCCTGGCCTCCGTTTCCGCTTTCCTCTGGGTTTCGAGGTCTTCGAGTCGCTTCTGAAGGTCGGATTTCACATCTCGAAGTTCATCGCGAAGCTCTGCATTCTCCTTCTTTAGATCTTTTAGAGGCATCGAGTCACGTTTTTCTGTCTTACCTGATGTGTCATTTGCAATGTCTAACTGTAGGCTGCAAGAGATGTCCGACTCACTTTTAGGCATCATACCACTGGTTGAGTCAGATGTAAACGAGTCTGTGTCCACATCTTCAATACCCGTGTCTTGTTCTGTCACTGAGGTGTCTACATCCGTTTCACTCAGCCTTGGAGAGCCGCTTGGATGCGTTTGACCGCCTTTTCCTTTAAATTTCTGTAACTGCTCAGACTCAAATTTACTGATGTGCTCTGAGTCGATGCCCTCCCCTGGCTCTCTGCCGGAGGGGAATTTCATTCGATCCTCTTCTCTTGTTCGTCCTTTTTTAGGAGCTCTCTTTCCTTGAGAGGAGTGGTTGTAAGGAGGAGACTGGTCATGATGGAGGGAAACAGAGGGAGAGAAGCAGTCTCCTGAAGAGCTGGAGTGAGGAGCGGGCACAGCTGGAGGAGGTGCGGCCAGCTGAGCTAAAGGAGAGAGAAATGATATGGTAAATTGTTTAGCAATTATCAGGTAAAAAAGAAAAGTCCCTGAATCCCAGGGTAATATCACAGTAAAGCATTGCCTCAAATATCTTACTGCTTTTATTTATAACAGTGGCAGAATCAATATGATAAAAGCCTAATAAAGGGTTACACTTATTCCTATAATAATAATAATAAGAAGAAGAATATAGACTGATTAACTATATTAATCAGTAAAAATGTGCACAATAATAATAATAAAATGATGCTTATATACTCAGAATTTAGAGTTGGAATTTATCCATTTCAGGAAAAAACAATAAGCCAAAAGAGGCTTTGTATAAGACATTTTACCATTATGAAACTGTCTTTGCCCTTATTCTAGAGTAGAACAAGCTGAACATGTTTACAAGTCTTTAAGAGAATTCTTATATATATATATATATATATATATATATATATATATATATATATATATAAAATGAAGTTTGGGGGGGTTTGAGGGTCTACTGCAGGGGTGCCCAACCCTGCTCCTGCCGATCGACTGTCCTGCACAGTTTATCTCCAACCCTAATTAAACACACCTGCCTTTAATTTTCAAGTGAGCCTGAAGACCTTAATTGGTTGCTTCAGGTGTGTTTGATTAGGGTTGGAGATGAACTGTGCAGGACAGTCGATCGGCAGGAGCAGGGTTGGGCACACCTGGTCTACTGCTTTGACTGGCTTGTCTAACCAATCACAGACTTCTTGTACAAAAAGGTTTTTGAAGGTGCACTGTCAAAGTCTGGCCAGAAGGGGGAGGCAAACACATAAGATGTGTGTAACAGGGCGGGGCCAACACATACAAACACAGTTCTTTCAGACTCACCCTGCAGTTCTTTAATAAGCTTGAGGGCATCAGCAAGCTCTTCGGTCAACCGCTTCACTTCCTCCTGTAGAGCTTTCTCCTGTTTCTTCATCTGCCCCAGAGACACAGTGAGACTCTCGTTCTCCCTCAGTGCCTCCTACAGGACAAGATGAGAAGTGCACATATAGAACAAAGTCAAATGAGATTAATGATTAAAGATACTTTTCATCCATGAACAGCCATAAAACTACATTATACAAGTGTATTGTTACACAAATAAAATCTAATAGTGAAAAGCAACCAGAATCCTCATAGGTGTTTAGGGTGAGGCACGCTGGACAAAGAAGACACACAACAAAATACACAAAACGAACGTATTCAAGCAGACAAACAGGTTATCCAACTGCAATCTTGATCTGCATATAACATTACTCTGCATTTAAACATGTATTATAATCACCAAAAAAGCTTTTATGATGTTTCTTACATTGTAAGTCTACTGTAAGTCATACTGTCTATAAATAAAGCGCTTAAACCCAAGCCCCAGTGTAAACAGAAGTCGTAAGGAGATAATGGTGCTATATCTGAGACTATATCCAGCTGAGTCAGTAACCGTATTGTTGCACTGGGAGCTTCGCCGGTGTGTCCCTCTCTATGTCTGGGTCACTTGGTTTAAAAGTTTGGGGTCAGTAAGATTTTTTTTGTAACAAATTACTTATATTCATCAAGTAATTGTACAGAATTTTACTTTGCTACAAAAGAGTTAAGTACTGAAAAAGCTATTCTTTCATCAAAGAATACTGAAAAAATGTATCACAGTTTCCACAAAAGTATTAAGCAGTATAACGATTTTCAACACTGATAATAATAAAATAATAATAATAATAATCTTGAGCATCAACAAATTAGAATGACAGGAATAAACTACATTTTTAAATATATTAAAATAGAAAACTTTAATTTGTATTAATATTTCCAAATATTACTGTTTTTGATCAAATAAATTCAATGAGACTTTTAAAACTTGTGAACGGTAGTGTACTTTTGGGGACATTATCAAAAAGGAAATAAAGAAACAGTTTATGCATTTGTAAAAATACCCAAACCTGTATATTAGGGTAAGAGTTACAGTCTATAGTAACTATAAGAAGCTTAATTTAGTAGTCAAAATTAAAACCCCATTTAAATAGCTAGGTAAATGTGTGCTGTTGTTGATTCTGGTCTCTGTTTGTGTCTCTCTCCAATAAAATTGTTAGAAATTAGCAACCCCTCCAAAAAAAAAAAACAAAAAAAAAAAAAAAAAGATCAGTATTTGGTTCCCAGCTGGATTTCCCACCCTGTCATAACTGAAGGCTCTGCCTTATCTACCAGACACTGTGACAGGAGACTCGGTTTGGACTTTGACATTGCTGTTCAATAACAATGACACTCTTGTTGAGGTAAGCTAACATTTTATTACATGACTACACTGCACACTGATGCATTTTGTCCCTTTTAATGTTTTTAGAGTGGCCATGTTTGAATAAAGGCTTTTTAACATTTTTGAACCAGAGGAAATGCCTTGGATCTTTTTTCTATAAATGCACCTTTTATTATATTTTGAGGAACGTGAAAGAAAAACTGGAGAGGTACGTGTCTGATTGGTTGAACATCAGTGCATCTCTGTCCCATCGTTCATAGCAAGTTATTTTATACATTTGATCTGAATTTTTATTATATAAATACAATTTGACCAAAATGCTTATAAATATCACTAGAAGTTAACCAATTCCTAAGATCTCCTTTTAATGACCTCCCCAGAAAGAGAAATGGTTAATAAAGAGACTAAATGCCTTTATATTCCAGAGCAATGTAAATAAAAATGAAGGCCATCATTAAGATACACCACCATTCAAATGATTGAGGTCGTTTGAGAAATGTTTGAGATTGAATAAATCAATAAAAAACAGTGATATTGTTAAATATTACAATTTAAAATAACTTTTCTTTTGAAATATATTTGACCATTTATTCCTGTGATGCTGCTTAATATTATTTGATGAATAGAAAGGACAAAAGAACATAATTTATTTGAAATATAAATATTTTGTAACATTATACTGTCTTTACTGTCACTTTTGTCCAATTTAATGCATCCTTGCTGAATAAAGGTATTCATTTCTTTAAAAACTTCTTTTAAACCCTAGAGCCTCAGTTGGAGTCTCTCAGGTCAGTGTGATTATGCATGTTGTTGTACCATGAGTTTGGCCTCAGTCTGTGTCTCTCTCTTCTGACTCTCTCTCAGGTCAGTCTCTGTGTTCTTCAGTTTTCCTCTCACATCCTCTAGATCTCTCTCCAAACCCTGCTTCTGCAAACACACCTGAGAGAAAGACAAATAGTCAGCATAAAGATAAGACCGTAAGCCAAGAGAAAGAGCGCGGATCTTCATCATGCCGTGTTTGTGGCAGATTGAGTCATGTGACTCAATTTCATGCAAGACGCCACACAAACCCATGTCATAGAAACTGTGACAAACATGATGAGATTTATTCATGGAATGTAAATGCAAAACATTATTTTCACGCATCTTGCAGTTTGACCAGATGATGTACAAACCATGCAAATAATTTTTTCAGTTTACTGAAGTGAATCTGGAGGCTTACTCTTGTTAATTAGACATTCATGCAAACCACATATCTAAAATATGTGTGTGCTCACTATCCAGATTTAGAATCATGTAAAATATCTTAAAGAAGGGAAACTTTTAAAAATTGCCATAAGCAAAGTAGAAGTCAAATCAGCACATTCCATCACCTCAAGTCATTTGAATCAGTTTTGTGTCCCACCAGTATAGAGACAACATTATCTATCTCTGTATTGACACATTTGTATCATTGCTCTTCAACACACAGTATCTTATCAGCACTATAAGAATGTCTTATTCTACAAAAGCAACAAAACATGGCTCAGACAAGACTCTGTTGCTAAATGCTTTAATTAATATAACACCAATCAGTGAACTACATGTCAATAGGTGATATTTTACAACCAATATACACACACCAAACTTGGTCACCTCCATATCTCGTTGTACCCATGTTTCTGGAGAATATAAGACATTTGTGCAAAAACATGCCATGAGTTTCAAAGTCAAACAGACATCACACTGAGATTACAACACTGACCTTCGCTCTAGTGTCCTCTGATGAGGAAAAACAGAAAGAGAAAAAAAAGGAATAGAATTGTGTGAGAAAACACATGAGCAGTGGGAGCATGAGAGAAAGAGAGAGGGGTGACATTAGTGCATTGACCAACGGACACCCGTTCTGGAGCTCCCATGAGACAGAGAGAATAAAGAGAAACAGAGGAAGTGGACAGAGAGCAGAAGCTACAGTTGAATCTAGAGTAGATAAACTACAATCAGGCTAGCCTTCTGGAAACATGAAGTTTCTGCAAATTAGAAATAAGAAGTAGCTGACTGCACTGTAGCTATTTAAGGAAATAGAAGTGAGTAGCAGCAAGTGGTGCTCGTCTAAACACTAGACGAGACATTATTGCATTGCTCTACGTGTTCTAGTTGGTTGCTGGGACACTGCTATGTGGTTTCTAAAAGGATCAGGGCTCTAGACTAACGTTTGAGAGCAGTGCACCAGCAGCATCTGACTTGTTAGCAGCAGGAAGGAGGGGGGTATTAATAATATTACATGTTTTGTCTATTGGAAATGCACATTTGATAGTAATTTGCATTGACAGTATAGTAGTTCAGCTGAGATGCAGATGCAAATTTATTTTCATTAACAAAAACCACATCTGTAAAAATTAAGCACATTTTTATAGGGTCAAATTTAAATATGCTGACTGAATTAGGACTCAACTCTTATTAAAATTAAAATTGTTCTTCCATAGTATCATACATTTGTAGATCATGATAACTAGGGATGGCCCGATACCATTTTTTTTTCAAACCGATACGAGTACGAGTATTTACATTTGTGTACTTGCCGATACCGAGTACCGATACCGATATTTCTACCGCAAAAGTAATTGGCTCCCAGAAAAGAAGATGACTATTTTAAAACACAGGTTAGAAGACTGTTTTTATTTTCTTCTCTGCTTGTTTTAACAAGTCTAAAAAATAAATAAAAATTAGTAAAATAATAAATGTATTAACACACAAACCACTGTTAATTTAACATAAAAGCAAGCAGGCTACTGCGTGCATGGTCTGGCATGACTGAATGCGCGCAAAGTGCGCTCCCTTAATAAATCCTAAAAGCTGACAGTTCATCGCGATCTCACACATCTCTGTTATTATCAATGAAGCTGACTGCACAATCAATCTTTCATAATATCCACACTTTGTTTGTTATAATTAGAGGATTTGCCAGCATACAGAATTCAGCACTGAACAAAAAAGTCCGTTTTGAGCGGTGAGGGAAGTCTATCTTAAATGCTTCTGATTGGCCATTGCGTTCCAGAAATCAACACATATGTCTGTGATTGGCTACAGCGCTCAACGCTGTAACCATGTTATGAATAGAAACTCTGTCCTGTAAATCGTTTCTATTTTGTTGTAGTTGTTCTTGTTGCTTTTCTGCAAGAGATGAATAAAAATCTTTTAGTTTTTATGTTTTATTCATAGATATTTCTAGTTTGCGGGAGTCCCGCGAATCGTTTTATTCTCCCGTAACCCGCACACACGGAGTGAGTGCATTACCGCCCGCGCGCGCGCTCGGCCATCAGATCTATGATGCGTCTTCAGATGTTTAATTAGATTGCTGGTGTTAAACGATGTACTTTCTTTCCCTCCTCTCGACACCTTAGCTGAACATAACTCACAGTCTGCCTTGCTGTTGTCATCATCCCTTATCTTGAAATGAGCCCAAACCGCCGACATTATACTTTCCTATGCCTCAGTTCACCTCGACAAAGCACTCGCGGCGGCCAGTTTCGTTTTGCAAAATGTACGTGGTATCGGCGAATTTTTATGAGTACGAGTACGAGTATATTAGGACAGTATCGGCCCGATCCCCGATGCCAGTATCGGTATCGGGCCATCCCTAATGATAACCACAGGTAAGATTCATGCATGGCTTCTCATTACCATGGTAAAAACTAAATGGATTCTATGGTATTTTTTATGAAAAACTGTAGCCTTAACACTTTTAGTAAATACAAATGCAGGAGAAATGCTATAAAAAAAAAAACAGGTCTTCATTAATAATATAATAAAATTTGATACTGAAAAGATCCCACATTTCTGCCACAATACCATGGTTACTGTTAGCGTTATTACAATAAATCCACGGAAAAGGTTTGTGATTTGTGGATTGAAACGCCTCCGAACTGGATCGTTGTGGCACAATGTTTCTCCTGTCTCCTGAGTGTCATCGCGGTTTCATTTGTCTTTTGAATAAAGCTACACTATTTCTAGAAAGGCTGAGCAACTCCTACACTACTGCAGTCAAGTAAATAGGGTCACCACATTTAGTTAGTCGCTCCTCAGGGCTGGTACCTTGTCATGCTGCGCCTGCAGTGTGTTGTGAAGTGCTCTGGCCTGCTGGATCTCCTGGTTGAGTCTGTTGCTCTCCTGCTGATGTTGTCTCTCCAGAGCCTGTCTCTCTCTCTGCAGCTCCGACAGCTCCTACAATACACAAATCGCAACCATCTCTTAGTTACTGTAGGACGTTAAGAAGGAATTTTTTGTTAGGCTGCTTAGAATTAACAGGCATTTTGAAGAGTGAAATAAAAATGAAACAAAACCAATTCCAAGACTAAGATCACAACTCAAAGCTAAAATAGACTTGCAACGGAGCTGTAGATTTAGCAGCAGGGCAGTGGAGGAAACAATGAATCACAAGCATGTCCATGTGCTCGGTCTCACCCTCTGATGTTCTCTCTCGAGGTCTTTCCTGCGCTGTTCTGCACTGCAACGGCTGCTCTCAGCATTCTGCCTTTGACACTTCAGATCCTCCTGAAGTTGCTTGACTTTTTGCTCAGCAGACTGGACCTACACACACACACACACAGGTATAATTACATTCTCTAAACATTCAATGTACACAATGTAGACACTCATTCTCAAGAAAACGAAAATAAATACATAAACTGGCTGAAAAATCTATTATCTAATTATAAAGAAACACTTCACAATAAGGTTCAATTCGTTAACAATAGCTAATGCATTAGACATAAACATTTTTACATAATTTATTAAATCAGCTTAATGTTAATTTATACATACACTACCGTTCAAAAGTTTGGGGTCAGGAAGATTTTTTTTTTTTTTTTTTAGCAAATATTCATTAAATTGATCAAAAGTGACAAAGAGTGTTACAAAAGATCTGTATGTTAAATAAACGCTGTTTTCGAACTTTCTATTTATAAAAGAATCCCAAAAAAATACTAAGCAGCACACCTGATTTCAACATCAATAATAATAATTAGAATGATTTCTGAAGAATCATGTGACACTGACAACTGGAATCACAGGAATAAATGACATTTTAAAATATATTTAAATAGAAAAACGTTATTTATTTTGTATAATTTATATAAATTTCAATAATATATCACAATATCACTGTTTATTGTTTTCTTGAGTTACCTGCGAGTCTCAAAGAAAAGAGATTGAGGGTGTACTGGTTTAAACACATTGTTTAGTGTGTGTTTACCCGCTCAGTCTCCTGTGTGATGCGGGTCTGTGCGCGGGTCAGCTGGTCTTGGCTGCGTGTCAGACTCTGTTCTTTGGTGCTGATCTCTCTGTTAGCCTGAGCCAGGCGAGACTCCACGTCCTTCAAGCGCTCAGACTCCAGCTGTGCCTCCCGCTGTAGATCTGATACACGCACACGCAGCTCTGAGAGAGACGGACAGTCACTAAATTATTTACGTTATCACTCTGACCTTCTGACTGTTTCTGGCTCTTTTGAAATAACAGAGTTTGATGTGCTACTGTATGTGCCAAACACTAATGTTCACAGTGCAAAGCTTCCTCCTCAATACACCAAAAGCATTTATGGAAACTAAGCTATGCATAACTTTTTTCATTTCTGAATGACAACACAACCTAATTAACATATGGCTGCATAATCCAGCATCCATCCATATATATATTTTTTTTTCCTGACAATTTAGCAATTTCCCGTCATATGCTTATTACTTACAATGAAAAGTATTCTTGTTAATATATTCAGAAACATTTTCTTCATGTAAAATATAATTTTTCTTATGATTTTGGACATTTATATTTGGTCATACCACTATACTAACAAAGACAGCCTGTTTAATTATAAGGGTCGGAAAAAGTAAGGGAATTAGTGCAGTAACTTAAATTACAATAACTTTTGATGCAAAAAAAAAACACCTTGACTTGGAAAAATGAAATGCTCCCAAAGCGTTGGATACAGCCCATATAAAAGCCCTCTGAACCACCCGCCACTGTGACAGTTTATCACAGCTTCTTGTAGGGAATTTACATTCCAGAAAATGTTACATTCCTGATCCAGAAGTGAATGGAAGGGAAGTGTTTGAAGAATCAGTGATACTGTGGTGTAGAGCTGTCAGAGTCAGCTGTCTGTGGAGATGACAAACCCTGATGACCTCACTGATGACTCATCAACACAAAGAAACAAAACAATGAAGAGCATTTATACCACCCACCCACACACACACACACACACACACACACCTCTTGCTCAACAGACACACACCCACTCTCGCACTAAACCACCCCACATCTCACTACAAATATGGCAAGAGATAAGACCAGCATTGCGTTAACTTCCATTATTTATCAGATCATCTATGTCAATACTGGAAAAAAACAATCCCCTGACATTCCATCACAAAAATAAATTACATCTTTAAAGCATTTAAAAGTAACTTTTCTATTTGAATATATTTTCTGTACTTGTGATCAAATAAATGCAGCCTTGGCAAACATAAGAGATTTTTTCCTTTTTTAAAAGAAAATCTTACCAACTCCCCAAACTAACAGTAGTGTATTGCGCTCATTTTATACATGGGCAAAAACAAAAATGATTCATTGGCCACTGGTATTGGCAAAAATGTCTATATCAGAATGATCACAGGTTCTGTTTTGGGCCTCCTTTACTGGGAAAGCTTTATTGGAAACCTGACAATAGCATTCAATATGAATCAGGTTGCTTATATAAATAAACCTGACATTTAATGAATAAACATGATACTCCTCACTCAGTTTATGGGCAAACACAGCTGCACTAAATAAATAAAACTACACTTCATTTTAATTTTATACACACACACAAATGCAGGTATGCATCCCATTTCTTTCCAGCTCAGTCTGAAGCTACGCCTGCTGAAAAAAATCTCCACCCTCCTTAACATGCAAATACTACACAAATCTGCTCATGCCACTGATGAGGTGGAATAACTTACTCTCATTGGCTGTCATGCCAACTTGCTTTAAACAGTGACTTTGGACTGCTTTCATTTATGATTATTAAAGAGCAGACAAAATGTCCTGGATTCAAAAAACCCAGGAAAGAGAGATGTAACTCAATCTGAAGAGTTCGACATAGTGTTTAAGTATTTAAGCAAGTTAAGTCTCTGGGTTGGTTTTACCCCGGGATGCCTGAACATTTAAAATGAGATGAAAAGCCCATCTCCTGAAAGCCCAATGGCATGAGAAGCTCACCATCTATCTCGTTCCTCAAGGCCTCCTCCATACCAGAGTCATTGCTCTTGATTATGATGTCACTGGATGAAACCGAGGAAGCTGGTCGTCCTTTGGGAGTCGACGACAAATCACCACGTTCCCATGGAAACACAGAGGTGGGGGTGGAGGGTTCTGATTGGCGGACGTTGCGCCGAAGGGGTGGGGATTTATGTGGTTGCTGTGGAAACGGGGTGGAAGCCCCGCCCACTGAAGGCTTGGGGACGTCTCCGAACTGCAGCTGCTGCTACAATAGACAGAGCACAAACAAATGAGTCAGGAAGTATATTCATAAACAAAATATTCCTTAATAAGTGGTTGCTCTTAATAGGGTTTGTGGATTGGAGACTTACTCTGACATGCTGTGTTTTGCCTTCACTCTCTGCTCTGAAACCACCTGCAGAGTTAAACAGGTTATAATAACAGCAAAAGAATAATGATGAAGAGGTCGTTCTAGATGCATCCCACATGGACAAACATGCACACAGAGCCTGGGTACAAAGTCAAAATGTAATCACATTTTTACTACGCAATCAGTCCTTCTTAGGGACATTCAGACAAATAAAACACCCTTTTGCCTACTTTATGAGTGGATACATTTTGCAATCTTTAAAGAGGGACACTTTGTGAACAGACAGTGAATAAAACAAAGGGACAGTGCGTGAGGGATGGTACCGTTGTTGTCCCAGGGAGAGCTCAGGTTCCAACAAGGTGTGGAAAACAACGTTGATTCCCCAGAGCCATTTCCCTTCTGCAGCTTTTCCAGCTCCGCCTCAAGCCTACATGCAGAGAAAGAAAAAGAGCTTGTTATAGGTCAATATAGGCAACCGAGTAATGGGGCAAACACATTTCTCAAAGATTTAAATTCTTTTTAGTGCTTCTAGGTGTCCAGAAATCACTACTCCACCTTTACTGTTAATAACAACCTAATGGCTGACTATCACCAGTCACCTCATGATACAGTCCTCATCACAAGTGTCAAACCAGTGTTATAGACCTTAGTCAGGTTAGACAGCATATTGAATTTAACGCAGACAAAAACGAGGCTTTGAGGGATAAACTTACAGTCTTTACAATGGTACACACACTGTATAACGATCCTAATCACATCATTTTCACAACTTTTAAAACCGTTTTATGGAGTTTGTCTCAACTGTAAGCTTTTTTCCCCCCTGGAAAGACATCGTCAGCTAAACAACCGGTATGTTGTTAAACAACATCACAATCTTATTAGACGCACTGTATTTCTTTTGTTCACAGCCTCGCTTTCGTTCCTGTCAAAAATTGTTTATATATATATATATTTAAATAAATTAATTTATTTTCATTTTAATTTATTTATTACGTAAACTTTTAAACAACGGCAACATTTCTAATTTTAATTTAAGTTTTATCCTTTTTTCATCTAATATTTCTATTTTATTTTTTTCAGCTTCATTTCAATTAAAGCTGCAGTCCGGAGTTTTTCCTCATTGTCGCCATCTCTGTTCGAAATCTGCAATTGCATTCATTCGTTGAATTATCAACTTTACGTGAGTTGTAGTTCGACACGGCACAGCACGGATGAACACATTGAGGAGACTGTGCAGCTGTCAATCACCGCGCCGGTGTGGATACTGGCATTCAGAATCACAGATTATTCTTTTTGGAAGTATGACCAACATAATAATTTTCACCGGAAAATGTAATCTGAACAAGTGAGTAACATCCACTTTTGTTCTGGTTCTGAAATTGCAGTAAATCACGCTGATTAAATCTAACAATCGCTTATCATCACGCAAAACCATGCAAATTATACTTTGTTCACAAATTGTTAATGTTAACAACATCAGCATTGCGTGACTACATGTAATGTCCTTCCGATATTATCCTTGTTTTCGCATGGGCCGGTTGCAGTCTCTTTTTTTCTGTAGCCACTCCGAAGTCCGAACGAAGTTTTTTGCATTTTACAGCGGGTGAATCTGTTGTCACTGGTGATTGTCGTTTGAACCTTTCTGGATCCGCCATCAAATTGATAAGTTTAATTATATCAAGTGCTGTGAGAAAAGGCTATAAATCTCCACCTCCAGCATCCTCACACTCATAGCCCACTAGCCGAGACTCCTTCTTTATGTGTACAGATGTGACGTAATGACACAAAGACATGCTCGAATCTCCCACGGAAATCCGCCAGTACCACTGGGATTAAAAACATTATTACAAGCTTACCGCTTTGAATCGAGCTAAGGCAAGAAGATAGTTTTGAACACATGGCTGGTTATGCATTTTCTCAAATATGTATTTTGGATCATTTTTAACCCAAAAAAAAGCTACGGACTGCAGCTTTAAATAAAACAATTTTTAATAGTTTTAATTAACAATAACATGAAACACAATTTGGTTATGAATTTGATCATGTTTTTAACTACTAAACTTTTTTTTTTTTAAACTGATTCACACAAGAGTGTGCGATATTCCCATTTCCATAGTAACAGCGACTTCTCCGATTTTTGGATCTCTCTCTAGGAGTTCAAAAACATTTGCGTAACCCTAAATTGGATCATTCCTTTATTCTGTATACAGTAGTGATGCAAGAATCTAAAGTATAGGCACAACAGTGTAAGAAATAAAATGTAACATTGACTAGCAATTGAAATGTCATGACCTTGTTCAGTTTGGTATGTAAATGCACAGGAGGGTTTATGCGTGCGTGTCTCACCGCTTGATCTCCTGTGTGAGGTTTTGTGTCTGCTTTTTGGCAGATTGGAGTTGTCCCTCTAGCGAGTGCACTTGAGCCGTTTTGACCTGCAGGTCGTGGGACAGGCGGTCTCTGGTGCGCACCTCCGCTTGCACTGCCTCCCGCTCTCCTCCCAGCTCTCTCTGAAGCACAGCCAGCTCCACACGCACCTCCTCATACTGACAGAGAGAACACGCTACATAACACATCCAGCACTGTTTGTGCTACAGCTATGCTGAAAGTCTCAGCCAACTTTCCATTTGGTGTCCTTTCAGGCAGTTATTTCTCCATTGCTTGAGTGCCTCTGTTAACCCTAGTAGGACTGTTGTATCCGATCTACCACAAGCCTTCTGTCGTCTGATTGACAGTTCATACTTTTTAGCAGGTAAAAGACCTTTTAGGATAATAGTAAAATATTCACCAAAATATTGTGGTGTACGCACGTGTCTTTTCGCAGTGGAGTCTTTAATAATTTTTAGGGCTGTCAACTTTATTCGTTTAGTCGACTAATCGGTCGATGCCGTCTTGGTCGACTGAAATTCTCATTGGTCGACCAGTTGCATTTTATTTTATTTATTTTTTATTTTACCAATTGTTAAGAAATTTTCATTGATTTACCCCTTGATATTTATTCCTTTTATAAGCAGTTATATATTACTGTATTTTAATTAGCCTATGTTTTATCCCCAACTTTAGGCTATTTTGTAACAGCGCCACAGTTTAGCGCACCACGTAGAACACTCGGGAAGCGCACCTGTGGCTGGCTGCGCTGCTGCTGCGGCGCAGATGCGCTTGGAAAAAACGAGCGCGTCGCTTCCATTATGAGATAACAAACAAACCTGAGCGCGCAAAAGACGCGATATGTGAGCAGGCCCTTTAACGGCTTTATTATGCCGACTCAATAGATTGTGTTTACTTATGTTTTTGTTTTTATTTGTACACTTGACCCGTTTGAAAATAGCCTAAATAATATAACAAAACGAAAATAAACCTATATGCCTTCCTACTATACAGCCTATTATTATTAGGGCCCAAGCCTTGAAAAGGCGAATTATTGTTTTGAATTGTATTGTTTTTTAGGCTATTTGGGGTTTTTGTGTGTTTGTTTTAAAACGCCTAGATCGGCTGGACAAAAGTTAACCCATAGCTTTAAAAGTAAAGAAGAATATACAGCCTGTATAAACGAGAGCTTTTGTTAGGATTTTTCATTATTTGTCAGTTTTAGCGGTTATATTTTTTGCAGCATGTGGTGTGGTCAGGTGCGCGATTGTGACTGTCACTAGACCTAGGACAGAGCTGCTCACTTTGCAGTTAAAAAAAAATCACTTAATTTTCAAAGAATTGTATTATTATTGTAGTTTTATGTATTATTGATGTTTTTTCGTTGTTGTTTTATAAATGCTCTGACAATTGTTTAATAAATGTTCAATCAAAATGCAAAACATCGCGTCTTTTTCTTCTTTTTTTTAGTCGACTGATTGTTGCGCAGGACAGGACTTTGGTCGACTACGGATTTCTTTGGTTGACTACAGCCCTAATTATTTTTATAAAGGAAATGCAAGAATACATTTTATATCGCTATTCGTTAGTAAAATATTGGTAAAACTTCACAATAAGGTCCCATTAGTTAACACTGGTTGATGCATTAACTAATATTACCTAGCAATGAGGAAAACATTTGTTTATAGTGTTTATTATTCTTTGTTAACTTTATTTAATAAAAACACAACCATTAGTAGTTCGTATGGCGTAGCTTCTCTTCTTTCATATAGAAACCCTGCAACATTTTTCTGTAAAACTTCTCGATTTAAACTTCTAATTCATCCCTGGCGTTTTGTTTTGCTCTTTCATCTGCACTTCCGCATTCGTCAATTCTCACTTAAGCAACGCCTATGTCATACGTCGGGTCAGAGGTCACCCTAGGATGACTTGAGGGGGAGTAAATTATGTGATCATTTTCATTTTTACTTGATTATTCATACATTATTTTAAGTAAAAAAAATCATGATATATCAGGTTTTTGAGATGTTTGTTTGTCTCTTCATCATCATTGTACTGCATTGCATTATAGTTTTGCCCCCACAATAACAAATTCAGAGCTTTGATCATAAACCTTAGCATTTAATTATCATCTCACCAAGACATATTTATATGCATTTTATGCAAGTAATCTGATAAACTGTTATACATATCTAATTGTTATACATTACAAGCTATCAGAATTTCATCTTACTTTTTGGTCATATAAATATCAGCAACCTCACCAAATTGCATATTTTTGCAGTTTGGCCCTCTTAATAAAACTGAGGTGTTTTTTTCTTCTCGAGTCTGAGCTCCATGTCATACTATATGAGCCATAAAAACACCTGATGTATCAATTATGATGCTCAACAAAAAATTTTTTGTTATATATATATAATTCAATAAATCAAATTATTATTTCATATGTCAGGCTCTAGAGGGTTAAAATGCACATGTACATATCTCTCGATGCTCACCTTCTGCTTCTGTTTGTGCAGAGCTGCTTCCGAGTTGTCCAGCTGCAGTTGCCTCTGCTGTTTTTCCTTGTTCAGCTTCTCATTCTGAGCCTGAAGCTGCTTCACCTTCTGCAGGACGTGACCCGTCAGACCCACGGTCCAGTCGTCTCCGGCCCAGCTCATCGCTGAAGATGCTTACAGACTGAGGTTTCAGAGAGCTTGGCCGATCATCTTCCAGCGCTGAAACGGAAGAGATATAGAAAGGTCTGGCTTGAGTTGTTGTTCATGAGGATCCTGTGTGCTGCCTTAGGGGAGATACTCTCAGCTGTCTGTACTTGTTTCAGACCAGAAATATCAGTTCACATACTTATCACATTCACTAATGACAAAAATGAACCAGTGTATCTGCATCTTTATATAAAGGAAAAGCACAGCGATCGTGTGGGTGTGTGTGTGTGTTTGTCAGAGTGTTCATGGAAACATTCTTAAGGGACTTCTGCTGCCAAAACACCAAGTAAAACCAAAAACAGAAGATTCTGTCATTTCCTTACATCATGTCTTTCCAAACCTGTATGATGGCTTATTTTCTTTGCAAGACAAAAAAGGAAATATTAACTATTTTGTACTGGTTGTTTTTATTCATGCAACTACAAAGAATGGGGACTGTCAGTTGAACTCAAAAACCGGATCGGTCCGATTCATAATAAATCATTCAGACTACCCTTTTGTAAACTGGATCAATTGTTTTACTCAAAAGAACACAGATTGGACATAGTCACTACTCTAGCACGGGTAGATGTGAAATTGCTAATGCATTATTGCGGTTTTATACACAAAATTTTCATAAGTCATCAGAAGGATTACTATGGAAGCTGGTTTCAGCCACTGAATAAAATATTTTTAAAAAAGTAATTGTGACTTTTTAATCGCACAATTCTAACTTTCTCACAAATCGCGAGTTTACATCTTGCAATTCAGATTTCCTTCCCCTCAGAATTGGACTTTATAACTCAGTCACAATTCTGGCTTTTTTCCCCTTGCAATAGCGACTTTATTTCTCAGAACTATGAGTTTTTATCTTGCAATTTTGAGAAAACAGTCAGAATTGCGAGATGTAAACTTGTGAGATAAACAAGCTTTAAAGGTATCATTCACCCAAAAATGAAAATTCCGTCATTTACTCACCCTCAAGTTGTCCCAAACCTGTATGACTTTCTCCTGCTGAACACAAAAGAAGATATTTTGAAGAATATGGGTAACCAAACATTTGATGGACAAATGTTGTTCTGCAAAAGAACGTTATATGGGTTTGGGACAACATGAGGGTGAGTCAATAGACAGATTATTATATATATATATATATTATATATTTGGTGAACTAGGGGTAAACTATCCCTTAAAGAGAACTTGCAATGAAAAGGTTTAAATACTGAAGTGAACAGTCCCACAGACACACACACAAAGTGAAAGTGTCTATTTATATTATCACTCAAGTATTTGGTTTCTCTTCTCAGTCTCCAACAGTAAGAACTGGATTGCTGAAAGGAAGGAATGATGAAAATCCGGCCTGTGAATCTATAAGAACTGTGAAACTAAACATGCTGGCCCGATCTCACCGTGTACCTGAATTTCCATTACAAAGCATCAAAGATGAGCTTTCAAATACAGATGACGCCAGGCTGGGATAATGACCATTGGCTACCGAGATACATATAAACGTTCAACAACCAGTCTTACCAGTTTTCGCTGTATAATTACGTATACAAACCTCAGCAGATTTATGAATCCTACTATGGCGAGTTTTGGGTCATGAATATCAATTACACTTCGTGAATGGAGGCAGCGAGAAAGGCTACTAATTAATATTCATGAGAAACGCCTTCGCTTTAGTAAGATTTAAAAATTCGCTGGCGGGGTTTGATTAAACTAGAATCTGTAGACTGCTGAAATAGCTAGTTAAAACAATAGTTTAACTATTTATTGGGAAAACAAATGCAGACCATAATCCTGTCAGGTAAAACGAAATGCTTAAGTGAAATCAAACAATGTGGCATTACTTACCAGGACTTCTGATATGTTGATCTCTTTAAAAGGCAGTGATCCTGATGTCTTGAATGCCGTTTACGTGTCTGTTAATAAAATACAACCGATATGTATATCTATATAGCATCTGAAGCGTTTGACCGTTTAACGTAAACAGATTGTCGCTATTTTCAACAGTCAAAACTGAGCGCACGCGGTCGCTGTTTCTTGCGCCCCTCAGAACAACTGCCGAACATGATTTGACGCGAGGCGTGGGGGTCCGTGACGTATACAAAGAGGCGGAGCTTTAAGAGGTAACCAGAAGTGCGGTGGCACCCACAGGTCAGTGATACGTTTTGTTTTGTTTTTTTAATACATTGATTTAACACTACAAAATGATATACATCAAATTAAATATTATGAATTAAAATGTTAAGTTGCTTAAATTGAGTACACAAAATCGTTACGCATTTTATCCCAAACTGTTTTACATTGTTTGCAAAGAGGAAGAAAAATATTGGACACTAGCTAGTGTCAGAAATTAACCAGGCATTGGGGCAAATATATAAATACATTGGCTCTACATACAAAAGTGTGATGTTAAGAGCTGAAAACGTAATGGAAATTTCTATAATGAATTCAAAGTGTTTGTTATTCTCAATCAGTAGCCTACAGCCTGGGAACGTTTTTCAAAATGAGTAAAACACTGAGTTTAATATGGGTTTTGTGTCTCTGTAGACACAATAGTGACCTGTAGCCAACGTTTACTCTTAAAAATAAAGGTTCTTTATTGGCATATGTTTCCATGAAGAACCTTTAACACCCATGGAACTTTTCCATTGCACAGATGGTTGAAAAAAAATATTCTTCTATGTGGCATCGCTGTGAAAACCCACTTTTGGAACCTTTATTTTTTAAGAGTGTATATTTTCCTATTTTAATCATCTGTGTGTGATGATTTCTTGTGTATCATTTATGTCTACTTTAGTAGTCTATTTAATGTTGATTTCATTTTATAATCAACAAACAAATCAACGGATTCACATAATGGGCAGCACACAAATTCCAGTTCCAAACCTATGAGTTTCTTTCTTCTGTTAAACACAAAAGAAGATACTTGATAATATCTATTTGGTAAATGTTGGTAATCAAACAGTTGACGGCACCCATTGACTTCTATATTATTATTTTTTCCTTCTATGGAAGTCAATGGGTGCCGTCAACTGTTTGGTTACCAACATTCTTTAAAAACCTTCTTTTGTGTTCAACAGAAGAAAGAAACTCATACAGGTTTGGAACAACTTGAGGGTGAGTAATGACGAATTTTCATTTTTGGGTGAACTATCCCTTTAAATCAGTGCTTTTGTAAACTAGTGTCAAACTCTTGAAGGATAAAAAACATTAAAGCCTTCAGAAATTAGGTACAGAAGCGGGATGCACCTTGACTATCAGTCACGCATTATAGCCCGAATGGTCACTTTCACTGGTCTAATCCACCAGCATAAACAGCATGTACGGTAATCAGATTATCCTTATTGCCGTGGCCCTTGTTTCTGAGAAGAGTGTAGGAGTGCAGTGTAATCCATGATCACACATATGCATATTAAATCTCCGAAGTGCTGAACAGAGTGGAAACCCTCACAGCACCTACAGATCTGTTCTCTCTCCATCTTTCGGTCCGATCGGACACAGACTGCTTGGTACAGATACGCAATGATTAAGACAGCGTGTGCATTGAAAGCGGGTTACGTAACTCCTTAAGTACCTCTGAGTAACTGATGTTACCACCTTAACAATAGAGCTAATGGACACTTTATACAGCTTTTACAAATCATTAAGCTGCTAAATTTCATTGCTTTACTTTGCTTGAAACTTAAAAATTACATTTTGTAACTTAGAAATTCCTTTATAATATTCAATAGATGCAATGCTAAAAAAATTTTTGCATATGCATTAGTTAGTAATTAGTAGTAAGTAATAATGCATATAAATATCTATGCATATATATATATAATTTTTTTTTTTATGCATTCAGTGCACACATGTGCTGGCAGCTCAGGATGAGCAGGAGGTCACACTGTATGCAAGGTGTGTGTTCAGCGCGCTAATCAGATGGCTAAATACCAGCTCGCATATTTATATGGGATTACATACACATTTACAGTGACTAAATCATCGCAAAGGAGAGCTGTCTCATCTGGAGTGCTCAGACTGGAAACAAAAAACCCTGGATTTTGAGATTTTGGCGCTACATTTATTGCACTTCGGGTCCAATTTGGAGACATTTGATATTAAATCAGGAATATATTGTCAACATTTGAAAACTCACATTATCTGAAAGGTAATATCCTTTTTCTATAACTTGAGTGGTTTTAAATGTATATGGTGCTATTTTTCACCATAATTTCAATTAATAATAATAATTTGCATCCCATATAGGCAATATACTGTACTCCAGAGCAAATACATTTTACATTTACATTTAGTCATTTAGCAGACGCTTTTATCCAAAGCAACTTACAAATTAGGACTAAATTAAAGCGAGTCATCGTGAAGAGGCAAAAACAACACAAGAAGTGCTCAAAATACAAAGTACAGGCATTTCTCAGAGTAGCGTAAACCAGACAAGGGAGGATTAAGAAAAAAGGAAAGATTTTTTTTTTAAAAATTTATGAGGTTAAGTGCTCAGGGAAGAGATGAGTTTTCAGTTGTCGCTCATTGACTGATCGTAGGCTTCTGGTAGGGACGTAAACTCGTAGATGCGAGTGAAAGTTGGAGGGAGCTGAGCCTGTGATAGATTTGTAAGCAAGCGTCAATGCCTTGGACTTGATGCGAGAAGCGAGTGGTAGCCAGTACTGATTCTATTTGCACAATTGTGCACATGTTTGGATATCTAAACTTCTTATTAATTGGATAGTCAACCAGACAATTATCCAAATTACTATATCAAAGACTATATCTGGGTGCGAAAAGCTGTGCTGTGTTGCCACTGCCAGTGTTATTTAGAGGAATTAAAAGTCTGTATATTGAACTAAAGTTGAGTAGGACCACAAAGCAATAAACATAAACAAAAAACAAAAACGTAAATAGCCAAACACGTATTACAGCTCCAGAACTTTACTTTGTACTTAAATTTGGACCTGGGATCTAATAGTCAGATATATCTTTAAATAAATAAGTACAATTCAAAAATAAATACAAATCATTTTCACACATGAATTGGCTCCTCTGAGTCCAGACCTTAAATTCATTGAAAGTCTTTTGGGATGTGCTGGAGGAGACTTTACAGAGTGCTGGACTCTTGCATTGTCAATACAAGATCTTGACCAACAATTGATGCACCTCTAGATGGAAATAACATCACAACATTTATTTCCATCAAGAGGTACATACCTTTTTGGTCAAGATCTAGAAACATGCTAAAAACATAATAATCTTTTTTTTTTTTTTACATTTGCCTAATTAAATCCAAATAGACTCTTTTTTTGTCCGGGCAGGGTGTGTGACAGACAGACAGACAGACAATGTTACAACCTGAACTTCATAACTCAAACCTCTAATGGTTTTTGCTCTCACAGATGTTCCCCTGGTCAGTAGTGTTCTCCCTGGAGCCGAAGGTTCCCGGACAGCGCACTCCAGAAGAGCTGGTGACCAACACTTTGATGCTGGAGCTGGGTGCCATGGTGAAACGGACCGAGCGGATCCGGCTGGAGAAGGCAGCGGAGGTGCGCAGACGCCGAAACTCTTCCTCTGCAGACTACAGCTGGCTGGCCGGCCCTCAGCCTCGGGCCCCCTACGAGCTCACGCCAGGAGAGGTTCTGGAACTGCAGGAGCTTTGTGCCCAGATCCCACCTCAACAGTGCGGGCCGGTCATTGTCAGGTAGTTACTGTCAGGTAGTATCTCATGTGTTACTGGGATACTAGTATAGTCTTTATTAATAGTTTGAATTAGTTCTTATTTTGATATTTTCCTTCTTAATTTTAGTAAGTTTGTCATTTTTTAATGTCTATATACTGTAGTTATTGATTTTGATTTCAGTTTTAACACATTACAATAAGGTATCATTTGTGTATATGTATATATATGAAGAGTTCAGATGCAAAAGCCTCTAAGTGCCATTTGAAATTTTCTTCTAGAATGATATTTTTATCAAGCTTGTATATTTAAGTTCAGTAATTTCACTTAAATGGCAATGAAGATTACCTATTAATTGTCATTTAAGTGAAATTACTGAACTTAAATATACAAGCTTGATAAAAATGATCATTCTAGAAGAAAATTTCAAATGGCACTTAGAGGGTTTTGCATCTGAACTCTTCATATATATATATATATATATATATACATACTCAAAGCATGTATTAACCTTTGTTAACATTAGTTAGTAAAAATATTTATGTTAGTCCAATCACAGTGCATTAACTAATGTTAACAAATACAAACTTAGATTTTAAAAATGTATTAGTAAATGTTGCAATTATCATTGACAAAGATTAATAAATGCTTTAGAAGTATTGTTCATTGTTAGTTCATGTTAATAATAGTTAACTAATGTTAACAAATCAAACCTTATTGTAAAGTGTTACCGTTATTTTAGTACATCAAGTTAAATGAAACCGAGAAGTGTTTTCTTTTTAACTAGCTGAAATAAAATAACTTTTAAGTTTTAGTAATATATTTTATTTAAAGTAGCTAAAAATAAATGTTTTTATTGTTTTAATTTTAGTTACCTATAATAACCAGGTAGTGATATGGTGAGTCATGTATAGCCTACCTCTCAACAGATGTTGATATTTTGTTGCAAAGGTTCCGGAAACTAGTGTCAGAGTTTGAGCCGGATGTGACCGAGGTCCCCAAACTGTTTCGGGGCGTCCTACAAAACTGCCTGGATGAGCTTCAGGGAGATGCAGAAATCCAGAATCGGATGAACCGTTGGGAAAAACAGCGCAGCAAGAGCCTTTCCTTTGTCACTTTCCGGTCCAAGTTCCGCACCCTAAACCACGGCAAGGGAAGCTTCGGTGGTTCCCGCAACAACCTGCAAGAGGAGAACACATGGTCTGATGAGGAGGAGGAGGCAGCCGAGCAGGTGGTAACCGCCCTGCGCGCACGCAAGGGACGAAGTCACAGCATGCCAGAGATCACCCCTCTTGAGCAGCCCACACAGAGCTGAACACCAGGAAGACCAGATGAATAGAAAGACAGAGGAAAGCGATTTGAAAAGAAATGCAGCCTGCAAGCTAAGCTGGTGATGGAGGAGGAAGAAAAGAGAAAGTGGCAGAGAACAAGAGAAGAGAAGACAAATCTGATTCTAGGAAACATCTTGAAAGACCAAAGTTTGTGCTATCAGATTGTAAAACAAACACTGTTAATTTGTTAATTACACCAAAGAACACCAGTATAGGCATATATAAGAAGCCTATAGCCTAGTCTTTTTTTTTTTTACCTTCTAATGTGTTCTTAAATATTTTGAATATTTGGATGTGAATATAAATGTGAATATTTGGCGTAAATGTACATATTTTCAGAAGTAAAATTTTTTTGTGAGGCTGAAATTCAAAAAGCCTGACAAGTGCATGTCCAGGTCATATTTCAGGTCTTTTATATATATATATATATATATATCTTTAAAAAAAGTGCTGGAAAATGTGGGAAAAATACTTTTTAAATTTCATAGCATATCCATCAATACAGGCTTAATTGTACTGCATAAAAAAAATACTGTATTCAGTATTTCAGTTTTAATTTCACCATAAGAAATTAAATTACCCTATTAAAATAATGTCAGCTTAATTTTTGGTATGCAACACATTTCTTTTTTTCTTATAATTTTGGTGTGACCCAGACAGGTTTTGTGCAAGTTTTGTGAGATTTACTCCATAAAATCGTTAGTCACAGCAACAAATGCAACATTAGCCAGAAACACCACTTCTCAGATGTGTTTTAATATGTACTGTTTGCTCTTACATTACAACAGTGTTCAGTTCATACAAGAGATGCAGATCATCAGCTAAAAAAAGCCTGGAAACAGGAGTCTTCATAAAAAGTGCTTATTAAATAATACACTGTACATCGTTCATGAGTTTGATTTGAGAGTGTGTGGCATGTGTGGGAGAGAGAGAAAGTCTGTGATTTAGCAAATGAGAGAGTTTGACCTGGAAAACGCTGTTTCTAAGTGAAGACATCATCTCTGGCAGCTCCTCCTCCTGTTTCATTATTCACAGCATGAAGGAGCTGATCTTGTTCTTTGTGCCGTGGCCAATACTTTCATCAGGCCGAGGTTGCTCCTCAAAAATAAAGGAAAAGCACCCACCGCTCATTTATCAGAGTACCGATCGGTTTCATTACCAGACGTTCAGCTCCAGAACAACCAACACATGAAACTGTCTCAGCACTGACCTGGAACGAAACATCCGAATGCGATGAATGAGCAGTTTATAGCTTTAGAACCATCTGGAGTCTCTTTGGGCCCTTAAAACCTCTTTTAAAGTCTATACTACTATACAAAAACACTGGTCTTCATTTGCACCTTGTCTATTACCGCCTGGAGCAAAATCATAAGACCAGGTAACTTCCTCTAACTCCTCCTTGTGTATTTGGCAGAATCAAACTCAAAAAAAAAAAAAAACTCAAAGTCTCTTAACAGTATATAATATTGCAGACCTCGTATTTACAGGGCCGGCAATCAGAAGGCCTTAACACTAGAAGGTAGAATCTCATGAAAACTGTCAGGAAATGCCAGGCTCATATTTCACCACCCAAACAAGAAACATAAGTACATTTTTAGGACCAATAAGATTTTCTTTTGCAACTAATTTCTCCAAATTTTCATGACTTATGTTTGAAAAAATATATACATGATTTATAAATGTACACATGCATTTGCACATTTTCAAAGTGCGTTTGTAGTGTATATCATAGTAGTATTTGTTGTATTTAATTAAATTAGCATTTATTAATAATAAATATATCATGCCATATACAATCATTTTCATCATACTGTAATTTTTTTCCTTCACATTAAAATTAAAAAATATTTTTTCCTTTCATTTTTGGGGTAAAATATGACCCTGATATTTCTTTGTGAGAATGACCCATAAGTGGCAAATAATTGCATAACTTTGATATAAAAACAGATCAATAGAGATTAATGGGGGCATTATTATTATCAGGAACATTTTATAAAGAGAATTAGGTCAATCAATTTACTGTAAAAATGTTATCGATGATTACGGATAACACTGCCTGAGAAAAACAAACTAAACCAGTTTGAAGAATCAAACCATTTTGGGGAAAAGCCTTCTCTTTTAATATGTGATTATTAATGAGAAACGAAGGCTCAAATATTAATGTAGATGAAGCTTAAAGAGAACAGAGTGAATCAGAACACCCTCCTCTCGGTCTAAATGCACAGTAAATCTCAGTTCCACCTTCGTCAGCGTCATCATCCTCCTCCCTCTAGAGTGAGAGAGTCAAACATGGACAGTCACTGACCAAAATCATTCCACCAATGAGATCAGACCCCCCCCCCCCCCCCCCCCCCCACCCCAAAAAGTCAGAGTCCCCTGCCGCCCAGTCCACTTGTGTTTGTGTTTTTGCACATTCGCCCATAAGTCCATCGCCTGTTCCTCCTTCCTTCAAAACCTTTGGCTCTGTTTCCACCCCGTCTTACACTCAAGGTTGTTCCTTCTCAGGCGAAGAAGACCACAAAGATGATGAAGAAGATGATGAGAACGAGGAATATCTTGATCATGAGCCAGCGATTGGAGGAGACGGACTGGAAGTACTTCAGTATCTCGCTGTGGGCCATTTCCACATTCAGCTGGGTGTCCTCCACATTGGCGTCGATCCTGGTGATCAACAAGAAACATGAACAGCTCAGGCTTTTGGCAGCATTTGACAAAAACATCACAATTAAATCAATAATATTTTCAATTGTAAAAAAATAAAAATAAAAATACTGTTTCACTATAAAATATTATACTATACTTATTAGCAAGTTATTGTTTATATATAGTTATTAGTATTTTTTACTAAAAACAATGTCTTCAAATTGTCCTAAAAAACAAGTTTAATTTTCTTTATGCAAAATACAATTTCTTATTTTTTTCTTTTGATTTTGGGGTGAAAAGTGACCTGGACATGTTTGACATTTTCAACAAAAAATAAATAAATAAATAATAATAATATTTCCCCTGTAGAGGCATATTTAAGTGCTACAACAATCATCAGTCTTAAATGCCAATAAAAAATAAATGGACATTTTAAATATTAATATGCCATTTTATTGTGCAGCAAAAGATATATTCATGACACATTTCTACGACGAGAGAGTGAAAAGTGTTTGTGGTTTGTACAGCATGTATCTGTTGAGTCTGTGGTTTTGCAGTATGCATATTCATATGGTGTGCATGTGTTTGTGTGTGATCGTCTGACCTCTGAATCGTCTCCTCCTGCTCTTTGACCATGTGTGCCAGCTGCTGAAAGATGGAGCCCAACTCCACGATGGTGCTCTCGATGTTCTGCATGGTGTCCGCTCGGCTCTGGATATACGAGTCCTTCGCAAACACAACAAAGGGACATTAAATCATGAAATCAGACATTCAACATTTGTCATACATGCAAACGTTCAGCAACAAGCAGCAGCCTATAGTCTACAATCCTTTCCTAACTCTAGAGGCATTTCCTCTGAGAGACAGATACCTGTTCGTCGATGAGCTGCAGCTGAAGAGGGTTTGCTGTAGAGTCCATGTCGATGGCCACCTCTCCTCCCAGACTCCTGGACTCATCCTGCATCAGAACTGAGCTATCTGCAGGAGGCAAGAAATTAAAAACACTAAATACTAAATAATGGCACCAAGTGTGTCTACAAAACCAAATAATTTGACAAATGGGACATGGTGAAGAATTCTGTTTTCTAAATACAGGGTTCCTACACCTTGGTTCACTTCAAATTCAAGGACCTTTCAAGGACTTTCCATGTCCAATGCTCTCAAATTCAAGGACTTAATGTGGGGACACATTTGTTGTGTCCAACAACAAACGTTGGGTTACCATTGTAGTAGTTTTGCGCGTGCGTGAACTTCATGGCAACGTACAACACAAAGTACCTCATGCAGGAAACACAACGTAACGCGTAACTAACGTAAATCAAGAAAGCTAGTATGGATAGGCCATGAAGTATTGGCGAAATAACACATTAGCGGACCGGAGGTAATATGGCATTTTTTCCAGAAAATGTTTTGCACAAAATAAATTCAAGCACTTTCAAGGCCATGTATCTATGTATGTTTATTTTCAAAAACTTTCCAGGGCCTTGAATTTTTTTTTCTCAGATTCACAAACTTTCAAGGATTTCAAGGACCCATGGGAACCCTGTAAATAATAAATGCAAAAAAATATATAATAAAAGTCACAAACAAGAAATTAATAATATAATATTAATAATTAATCTATAATAATAATTATTATTATTATAATACATTACAATATAATAACTTATAATAAAATAATATATTATCAGCAATAATGTTATATTATAAACTATATATAAAACATTAACATTACATAATAGATCATATAAAATATAACAAATAATAAAGTTTAATAAAAGTGTGGAATGTTAATACAAAATTAGCACAAAAGAGAAGCTCAAATATAAGGACGTTTTTATTTGTTTAAAATGTTTGGTCATTGTTTGTATCATACTATCATCGTGTGTTACTTAATATTAAGTTATGATTAATTTACCATGTAGAAAATATTGCTAATGATTTGAGTGTATCTGCACAGCTCAAGACTATTTATACTAATATTAGTTAACAGCAAACTGTAATAGCATGACATTTTAAAGGGGTGACGTACTGAAGTTATTGGTGAGCAGAGGAGAGGCTGAGACAGGAGCCTGGGAGAAATGCTCTCGTCTGCTGCGCTGCTGCTTCAGATTCTAAACACACAACAGGACAGACACACGTCAGTTATATTACAATATTCACTCATTACAAATGTTTTTGTTTGGAATACAACTCAACCTTTGCTACACAGCAAATGGTTTCACAGGACCATGATGCACAGTAAATGCACTTTGTGTATTTTTTCTTACTAAAGAGCTGATATTTAAAAGCATAACAACTGCTTGACACCGAATTGATGACATTATAAAAGTGCAGCACTTGTCATAAACCAAAAGAAAACTCACCTCTGTTCTCACTTCCAGGACTGACTTGAAATCATTTGACATTGATGCCAGCTTGGACTGCAACACAAACATTCCCAGATAAGACTGTTAAATCATATACTATATTGTGGCAGGAAAATGAAAGGTGTGGCGGCTGTTTAAGTCATTTTATATGTCAAACCAAATAAGATCGTCCACCCCTACTGTCTACAGCAAGGGATATGGGAGACTTCCTGGAGAGTCTCAAATATCTGTGCACTGGAGGAATATCAGATATAAGACTGTACCTGCAGGGAGACAACAATTGTGTTGGAATGTGTCTGGATGTGGCGGCCATTTTGCCCACTGCGGGATCGCACAAGGTCTTGCAGCTGCGCTATCTGCTTATTCAGACTGGTGATGTCCTGATGAGAGACAGCATATCAGATCACTGCAAGAGGTTTGATCTTTCACATTATGGAAGTTAGCTGAAGGATTCTGATAAACACAGATATCAACAATCCTACAGGCAACTTCAACATCAATGCAAACTAAGTGAAATTAACAAGTACTGAGATTCATATCAATATGTTTTCATATGATGGATAGGGAGAAGGACAACAAAGACGCCACTAACCTGTTTAATGATGTACGTTAGCTCCTCAATCTCCACTGCTTTATCGTCGAACAAAGACTTCCTTTTGGCCACTAGGAGTTAGTGGAGAATAAAAATTAACTTGATGCAGTCTCTAACAGTTACAACAACATCAGTTTAAACCCCAATGTAATGTAACATAGTTCGCAAAGAAAAATGTCATTACAGACAGTAATCTTAATCAAAAATGAAATACAAACTATTCAAAAGTTTGGGGTCAGAAAGACTTTATAAAGAAATGAATACTTATTCAGCAGGGATGCATTAAATGAATCAAAGGTGATCATAAAGACATTTACAATAGTGCAAAATATTTTTATTTCAAGAATCCTCAAAAAAAATGTTGGAAAAAAAATCAGTTTCAACAGAAATATTAAGCATCACAACTGTTTTCCAACATTGACAATAGTAGAACATTTTTCTTGAGCATATTAGAAAGGATCGTGTGACTGACTGAAGACTGGAGTAATGATGCTGACAATTCAGCTTTGACATCACAGGGATAAAATAGATTTTAAAATATATTAAAATTCATTTTTTTAAATAATATTTCACTATATTATTATTTTATTTTTATCAGATAAATGCAGCCTTGCTGTTGAGCATAAAAACATTTTACAAATCTTACCAACCCCATACTTTTCAAACAGCAGTGTATTTTAACTCAAAGTCAATTACATTATAACAGGGAACTAGACTAGGGAAATGCCAAATAACCATGGACAAGCATCAGAACTATTAAATACACATTCTTCCACCACCAACAAGAGTCTAAAAAGAAAAGAAGAGCAGTCTTCTATACTGGTGTTACAGTAATCTATGTAGTGTTACTGACATGTTACTTACAAATTGTAAGCTTTTCAAGCTTGGCAAATGTGTTGCTCAAGTCTTTCCCAATTCTCCTGTTACAGAGAAACAAAACAAGATTTCAGGGAGGCAAAGATTCGAGGAAACAGGACAAGACAGAGTTGCTCTGAAGCGAAAACACACTGGGCAAAGATCAAAGAGAAACATGGATCTGAACTCTTACTTGGCCATGAGAGTGAAGTCACTGCGCTGTTTAAGGGCATTAATGGCAGGTTTAGCGTGAGTCCCATTCTGAAAAGACAGAACAAGAACTCTTGGTACATGTGAAAACATTAATAACATATCAAGTAGGAAATACATTTTTGCCAATAACAAAAAATGTGACATGATATAAAAGAACAGCCAAACAACAATGACAATGTTTTACTCTCATGAAGCACAAAAGGAGAGCTTAGGTAGAAAGTCCAAGCTTCTGCTTCCAAATCAAGAAAAGTGGATGGTGATTTATATTGCTTTTATATGGCTTGCTTTGCATAGTGTCTTTTTGGAACTTGCAGCTTAAGTCACCATTTACTTTTGTGCCCGGTTTCACAGACGAGCCTTAAGCCTAGCCCAGACTCAAATGCATGTTTGAGCCGTTTTAACTGAAATAACTTGCTCTGACAATATGTCAGTGCCATTGTTTTGTCTCAAGATGCACACCAGTAATGTTTTTCTAATTTAACTAAGGCCTAGTCCTGGCTTACTCTAAGCATGCGTGTCTGTGAAACCAGGCCTTCATGTATGGTAAAGAGCAGCTCACATTCTGCCAAGCATTTCAGTTTCGTAAAAAGGTTCAGTAAATGATGACAGAATGTTCATTTTATTTTAGGTTAACTATCCCTTTAAAATGTTCAAATAAAGTATACTGTAAATTTTCCTCTAAGATGGTGTGTAACAGGATACATGGCTTTAAGCATCTGTGAAAACCACATTATCCACACTGTAGCTGTAGATGTAGTTTATATTGTCATACCTGTAACTGTCTCCCCTGCAGTGACTTACAAGCCGACTGGAACTCAAGTGTGCGGTCCCGACACGTCATGATAATGCCACAGAAGCTTTTCTCCTCAACGAAATCAGGATGTGTATGTGTGACAGTGAGTCTAAAGTGATCCGGCTGCTGTGAAACTCCACTGGCGTCTTTATGGTGCCAAAGCAAACAACTCAGACTTCAGAGGTTACTAAGAGCTTGGCTGAGCTGACTGTTCTTCAGCGACTCCACACATCATCTGAGGATCACAGAACGATTCAATCAATCACCTGAACTTTGGTTGTTGTTGCTGAGAAGAAACTACAGTGTTCTAGAAAGTATTTGGACACTTGAGAGTGTGAGTAATATTGCGTTTGGTTTGATAACAAAACAAACCAAATGGTAACAATATAATGCACAAGCTTTTCATAGAACTAATGTCACCTTTTTAACCAATGATTTCTTTTAACCACTTGGTGTCAAGTTGATTTTTAATGGATGTATGAAGTCAGTTCCCCTGCAATTTAATATGTAGAATCCATGGAATTAATAATTTTGAGCTGAATATAATTGATTTTTTTTTAAAGAACTTCTCATAAACATTGATTAAAACTGTGTGTGTAAAAACATTACCAAGCCAAATGCCGCAAAAAAAAATTACATTGCCTCAGGGTGCTTTCGAAACAAGATTGTGATCCTATCCTTTCATTTAGTTTTTGTATCATAGAAGAGACTTTCCATTTACTTGTTCATGAATATTGTATCGAAAGAAACCAAATATATTATTATATAGTAATAATAACTGCAATAGCATAACAAGATCTTAAAGTGTTAGCCTACAAGAGATTTATAGTTGGATCAAAGCAACATTTCAAGCAAATGCCATTCTCTGGGTATATATTGCCTTCACGTTGTTACTGAGAATCCAGTAAAAAGAGATACAGTAGGTAAACAGTGTTGTCTTTCACTTCCACATTCAGAAATACTTGACAGATATAAGATCTTCTAATACTGATCCCAACTCCTCAGCTTGCCCTTCTTTACGATATTAATAAAGAAACTCACTTTAGATAATGTCTACAAATAACCAGCCCATCAGTCAGCTGAGCAGAGAGGTAAACTTAACTCACATGTTATCGCATTATAGGCCACCTAGAATATTCTGGCTCCACAGGCAGACGTGGAATAGCACAAATCAATACGACAACTCGTTATCCGAGAAGATCTATTACAAACAATTACTTATATGTTTTAAAAACGATTTATATATTTAAAGGTGTTTACATGTTTGTTTACATGTACTGTGACTGACACCGTCTTCAGTCCAGCAGTACGCAGTTCTCTGTGCGCTAATTGACCAAAAACTCGACAATTTCTGTCTTAATTTAAACCATAATAGCTAAAAAATGAACCTAAATCACTAGCTAACAAATTACTGGCATCATTTAGAATCGTTTACTCACTGTTATTGTGCCATTTCGTCGTTTTTTTTTACAATATTCCCGGCTTGTCGATGTTAGGGAGGTCGGGGTTTCACTTCCAGTCCTGACCGCTTCCGGTGTGCGTAACGTCACTGCCACGTCCACGAACGCGCACGCTCACTGCCGCTTTCCGAAAGCGTGATCTGTGACGCAAGATGACCAATTTTGTGTTATGAGCGGCAAGTCTTGCAATTTTTATTTAGGTTCTAATTTGATGTAATAAGTCATTGTCATTTTTTAAATTGTTTTAATTGAATACTTTTCTAGCTTTTTTCCATTTTCTTTGTTACTTCATTTTTTATTTATTTAATTCATGCATCTATCTATTAATGTTTGTAATACTCCCAAACACAGGTCATCTCTGTTTATGATTTTAATAATTAATGCAAAATTTAAAAAACAACAACTTATATTTAAGCTATAGTTTTGGAGCAGTGGAATTTAATTGAATTTTTTGGGGGGTTAGCCTATCCAATTATTTTAATTGTTATCTTTATTTAACTAGGGCTTTTTTTCTTTTTAATGTTGGTCTTTTTTGTAAAATAATAACCAGTGCGTTTTATGTCGAATATTCGTGATTATATAGATTTTATCAGAAAAAATTATTGACAGTAACATTTAAAACTACTACAACACCACCAGCAGATGTCGCCAAAAGAATATAAAAAGCTGCACTTGCTATGTTGTCGAACAATAAAGCCATGCTGTTAAACATTTTGAGGTGAATATGATTTTAAATATTAAAATAACTATGCACACTGACTAAAACTGCAATAAGAGTTACTCTAAATAAGAACATAAGCAAGCCAAATGACAAGGGTGGTTTTGAAAAGATTGTGATCCTTTCAAATAGCAAAACAAATTTAGGCTACAGTTGTGTTCATTGTTGGGATATTTTCTATCCCTTAACCCTATACATAACATCATCACACACCAGTTTTCATTTTCTTTTAGTATGTTTCCTAATCCATTTGGCTGATTTCCAAATAATTTTAGATTTTACTATCATTATGTGAACAATAGGTCGACTCTCCAGTATATAGGGAAAATTTTACACACAAACACATACATATTCTCTGCAATTGAACATGAAGCAGCATGTAAACTGTTTGATGTCCTCTCAGCATAAGAGCTGTTTGTGCTCCTTATCTCCTTTGTGCTGATCAGCCCAACTCCCTTTGAATCCAGCAAACCCCATAACTCATCTCAAGATCAGCATTATTTTGAGCTTTTTGTACTCAGATCGATGACACGGTTCTTTCCAGCCCATTTGAGACAGGGATCAATAGCATCAGTGTTTCCCCAGAGGAGAAATGCTCATAAAAACACATTAGAAAACACTTTTATTGACTTAAATGCTCATAAAAACACATTAGAAAACACTTTTATTGACTTAAACATGAAGGTTTTTTTTCTCTCTCTCACACACACACACACACACACTGACGCATAGGGCACAGGTAGCACTCAGCCAATGTTGTCGTCTCTGCCAGATAACATCACAACGCACACATATTCATGTTGTCCAGATAGCATCCAGACCTGCTAGAACACAGCTGCTTCAACAAAGAGACACAAAGAAAACACGACTGATGTTTTATCATTAGTGCCACTTTGGGCAGCAACACACTCGCACACGTGAGAGCAGGAAAAAAACACGGGACTGTGTGTTTTAGCTGGAGATGAAAAAGGAGGTGAGCCTGGCAGAGGAAGTGGGCGGCCCTGGAAAATATCATTTAATGCCTTTTAAGAAGAGAGGGAGGAAGGGAGGGAGAGAAAGTCAGAAAGTAGCACAGAAATGTATTCCATCTTCTGGACGGATGAGTCACTCTCTGTTTCTCCCTCTCCAGTTTTTTTTGTAATCTTGCAGGCGGGCTGCTAAATTTAGTCCTGGCTGTGAGCCCTGACAGACAGGTAGGCCAGCATCAGCCTCACACACAGTCTACACACACCCTGTACAAATCCCACTCAAACACACACACACACACACACACACACACACACACACACACACACACACACACACACACACACACACACACACACACCATTTCAGAAGTGAAGTGGGGCAGACATGTCAAGTGTAATACCATTTTTTCCTGACCTTTGTCTAACAGGTTTTTTCCTTATATTTTCCTTATGACAATTGATGATTGGTTTATGCATTACAAGACTTTTTACAATGTCAAAAAATGTCACATAATAAAGAAGTAAATGTAGGCTATTTTATAGTTTCTATACTGTAATAAAAGGTGTCAATTAGCACTGCATTCATTTACTTTATTTTTATGAAAATACTTCGAGATGGCTTGAAAAACGCACAAACCATATGTCGCCATCGTGTGTTTATTGTCTACTTGTTGTTTCATCAGTCAAAACCATAGACAGGTCAAAACGTATTTTATTCAGCTACAGAGATGGCCTGATGCCTTTCTCCATATAAGGGCTTTCCTCGGATGTCATAAGTGTACTGACTTTATGAGTCTCACTTGTGGACTTTCTGCGCGAGGGCGCCCTCTGGCTTTCAGTATGATTAAAAAAGACATTACATGAGAGTGTTTAGCGCTCTAGGTTCACATATCGAATCATTTTGGATAAGAATGAGACGTCAGGCATAGACTATCTTGTCTCTTTGATTAAATCTAGATTTATTCACATTGGCCTATGAAAACCTCAACGTGAACACATTTGCCCGAAAAAAGGTGTGGGGAAAGAGTTTACGTTTTGTGGGGCCCGGGGGATACGAGTAGGCTATTCTACGCCCATGCAACACACACTTGAAAACAGACAAGCAGCATCCATACACACAGACTGCAGCAGTCACACACACATTACCTCACTGCATCAAGTAGCCTACAGTCATCAAACATGCTGTGAAATATTTTTATGAGAACTCGGCACTCCAGTGACTCGCCGCAGGTGATACGCTGGAGAGGATGTTCTGTTTTGATAATGTCACAGGAATCAGATGTCTGGCTCTATATTAATGCAAATGAGAGTGTGATGAGGGGACCAGACAGTGAATAAAAGCGTCACTACCACTCAACATGAATCTGACCTTTACAAGACTTTCAGCAAGCACAGGCCAATAAAAACCCTGGTTACAAACTATAATTTTTTTGTTTAAAAAAAAGAGAGGAAAAAAAGTCTCATTAAAACTGTCCAGAAGATCCAAATATCTCTGTCTCTCTCTCTCTCACTCTCTCTCGTAAAATTTTTATAGCCTATAGAAAAAAGGAAAGAAAACAAAGCCTATTTCAGGATTTTGGTAATAAAATGTAACAAATGTTTAATATAGTCATGTCACATACACTCACCTAAAGGATTATTAGGAACACCATACTAATACTGTGTTTGACCCCCTTTCGCCTTCAGAACTGCCTTAATTCTACGTGGCATTGAAGGTGCTGAAAGCATTCTTTAGAAATGTTGGCCCATATTGATAGGATAGCATCTTGCAGTTGATGGAGATTTGTGGGATGCACATCCAGGGCACGAAGCTCCTGTTCCACCACATCCCAAAGATGCTCTTTTGGGTTGAGATCTGGTGACTGTGGGGGCCATTTTAGTACAGTGAACTCATTGTCATGTTCAAGAAACCAATTTGAAATGATTCGAGCTTTGTGACATGGTGCATTATCCTGCTGGAAGTAGCCATCAGAGGATGGGTACATAGTGGCCATAAAGGGATGGACATGGTCAGAAACAATGCTCAGGTAGGCCGTGGCATTTAAACGATGCCCAATTGGCACTAAGGGGCCTAAAGTGTGCCAAGAAAACATCCCCCACACCATTACACCACCACCACCAGCCTGCACAGTGGTAACAAGGCATGATGGATCCATGTTCTCATTCTGTTTACGCCAAATTCTGACTCTACCATCTGAATGTCTCAACAGAAATCGAGACTCATCAGACCAGGCAACATTTTTCCAGTCTTCAACTGTTCAATTTTGGTGAGCTCTTGCAAATTGTAGCCTCTTTTTCCTATTTGTAGTGGAGATGAGTGGTACCCGGTGGGGTCTTCTGCTGTTGTAGCCCATCCGCCTCAAGGTTGTGTGTGTTGTGGCTTCACAAATGCTTTGCTGCATACCTCGGTTGTAACGAGTGGTTATTTCAGTCAAAGTTGCTCTTCTATCAGCTTGAATCAGTCGGCCCATTCTCCTCTGACCTCTAGCATCAACAAGGCATTTTCGCCCACAGGACTGCTGCATACTGGATGTTTTTCCCTTTTCACACCATTCTCTGTAAACCCTAGAAATGGTTGTGCGTGAAAATCCCAGTAACTGAGCAGATTGTGAAATACTCAGACCGGCCCGTCTGGCACCAACAACCATGCCACGCTCAAAATTGCTTAAATCCCCTTTCTTTCCCATTCTGACATTCAGTTTGGAGTTCAGGAGATTGTCTTGACCAGGACCACACCCCTAAATGCATTGAAGCAACTGCCATGTGATTGGTTGATTAGATAATTGCATTAATGAGAAATTGAACAGGTGTTCCTAATAATCCTTTAGGTGAGTGTATAATACGTAATAATAATAATAAATGTATACATTTTTTTTTTTAAATTGAACATAAATATGCAAACAAGTCCCAGTCATAAAACAGGCTTCATTTTTTACATGAAAATTCTTATTTATTTTTTTATTTATTGTATTTATTACACATTATATTTCATTCCCAAATTAAAAGATATAGGCCTATGTAGAAGTTAGAAAATGAAACTTATTTTAGGATTTAGTCAATTGTCATACAATTTAAAGAAACTGTTGTTATAATAATAATAATAATAATAATATGCAATATATAATAATCATCTTCATCATAATAATGATAATAAAATAGATTAGAAAAATATTTACAAAAATGCTAATAGAAACAGACTTTATTTTGTATCACTTCATGCTGTATCACTCCTGTTAAAAGCCTAGAGAAAACAAGGATCAGTGAATCAGCAAACAGGAGATATCAGGTGAGGTAAGGCAGGTCTGTGCTGTTCCACAGGCGCTGGGCAGGTGGCATTATTAGCCCTGTGTGTGTGTGTGTGTGTGTGTGTGTGTGTGTGTGTGTGCGAGTCTGACTCAGCAGCAGTCAAGCGAGAGGAGGGAGAGAGATAATATTATTTCTCACATCATTATGGTGCTGGCGGCCCTCTGCCCAAGACTCCCAGACCCAGGTGATAATTATCACAATGTTTGTCTTTCATTACCGTTAAACGGCAGGAAAAGAGAGGGAGGGGTGGACGATGCAAAATAGGGAGGGTGAATTGGGAATATAACAAAGACTAAAGCACATTTGTCCATTTTAGTATTTAACAAACTAAAGCACAGAAAAGTTCTGCTGCATTTTCATACAGTGATGGTATTAGAGGGATAGTACTTTAAAATGTACTGAAAGATTACTATGCCATTATATTAACATGATACTCCAAGGTCAAAGTCTTCTTAAAACATGTAACATGTCCAGCTATATAGACCATATTATCACAATAGATTGCCTCAATATTGTTCAGGACACATTTCACCACAAAAAGTAGGCTAAGCCTTATATGTTCCTTATAGGTTTGCCTCATAAATATATATATATGCATTGGACATTTTCTTTTTTTGTCTTTTGGGGTGAAATATGAGGTTGTATGAATGAAAATGAATCTCACAGGTTGTGAGATTATCCGAGTAATATTGTGGTACTGTTTGCAAGTGTGTGAAACATGCTGTAAATGTTTCAGAATTACCAAATCATCACAAATCTATCTCAAAAATAAGACATTTCACTTTATTTATATTAATATATAGCACATTGCTTTATGGCTGTTGTGTTTTTATATACTGTATGTGTGTGATCAGACCTACGTTTGAATGTATACACATTGTAGACATAAAGCAGAGCAGGTTATGTCTCTGTAACAAATATTACACACACGTTCACACACACAGGAGAATCGGGCACAGATGGTATAGCAGCAATAACCATTATTAATTACGTTCAAACACTCAAAGCTTATATCGTTTATAGACTGTGGTACAGATTGGGTTCTGTGGTGTCCTGTTCTAACTGGATACATGTCAGACAGAAACGGTTCTATGCACAAATTCTCGGAACAAAGCGACAGGACTCTGGAATTATCTTTACATAGAATAGAATGGAAACACTGAAGTTCTGTCGGTACATTCATATTGTATGCATTTTGTGTATTTTTGATTTATATATTTTCACGGTTCTATATTCTTACTGTGATAGTTACGTTAACTGTACAGACACAGAGGTAGTTGATATATGTTACTGTTGAGAGAGAGAAAATGCTACGTTTATAGCACAGGATATTTCACACGGAACATTTCACAGCGGCAACAGAGTTGAAGGAAAGCCAGTAGACGAGGAAACAGGACAACATTTTGACCAGTTGACACAGAAAAGACCTGAAAGTCAACATGAACTCAAAATCAACCCTATTCACTTTCATAACACACATTACTGGTCTTATTGTACACAGTTCATTTCAAAGAAAATAATATTTCCATCCACATCTTTCATCAAAATGGAACGACTTGCGTGTGGGTCATGTGGGCTATTGGATAATGCTAACCAATAGTCAAACGGCTATTTAGGCAAACTAACATTCAGATTTGGCTTCATTTTGGTCTGGAACGCCCACTTTTTACCATTCAATCAACTGCCAATGTATAAAATGAAGAGACGCCCTACATATCTTTTTTCACTAAAACACATTACAGAAGTAAATTTGGTTGCAATTGACATTTCATGTTGACTTTGACAAATATCAGTAGTTCGGGAATGCTGATAGCAAGTGGATATCCTAGTCTGGAGGGTGAAAGGGTGCTTGAGGATCTCAATTTACATTATTGCAGATTATGACTAAACAAATAATCTGAGAAATCACTTAAAGTGAGGTCAGTGAGGCCTCAGTTCCTTGCTCTTAAAAATCATAATTCAGTCAATAATGCTACATATAAGGTGGAAAGAAGTGTTTGGCTAAATGAACACCATTAAAATAAAAAAGTAAGTAACCTTCAGCCTCCCCAGCTAACAAAAATATGCTCAGAGAACGTTTTGCTAACGTTACCATTAAGTTATGAAAACGTTATTCCTGAATGTTCAAAACGTCCAGTTTTTTTTAAATGTTTTTTTTTTTTTTGGTCTTGGTGAACATTAGAGAAAACATCAAGGGAATGTTTTCTCTAGTATATCATTTCCCAAGTATTATGGGAACATTACTTTTGAATGTTCTCTGAACCATCTGCAAAAAGTAGCAAGTAGTAACATTTAAAAACATTGGCCTAACATCCAATGCACAACGTTCAATGCACGATGTAGAAATACATTTTTTGTGCAAATGTTTTGATTATTAAATTTCATTTCTAAATTTGGATTTCTGATTTTGGTTATTGAAGACCAGGGGCCGGATTCATGAAAGTCTTCCTAAGAAAGAAGTTAAGAAAATTCTTAAGAAGATTTTTTTGGGAATACAAAATATTCTTATCTTTTTTAGAAAATAAGAAGAAATTGGCAGTAAAGAAGATTTTTATTATTAAGAATGTTTCGTGAATCCGGCCCCTGATAACTATGAACAAACATTCTATTAACGCTACTGGACGAACGTTGTTCATAACTTTGAGAGTTCCCTGTTAGCTGGGTCTGACATCGGTGGAAACTCACAGTCAACATCATCGACTGACAGCTACATCATCTGAGCTGAGCTGTATGATTCCGAAGAAATCAGGCAAAAATACTGAATATTCTTGGATCATTACAGTCGCAGCAAATTAAATGTCCCACAAGAAACATTGCAAAGCATAATACAAAATGCATCTCGATATAAAAAATAAATACGTCATCCTCCCACTCCTGTGAGATGATAAAGAAAAACTTAACACACAGAATGTGTGTTTGTGTGTCTTCCCTTTTCTGAAGCTTGCCGGGTGCTCTCAAAGCTCCTTTACTCAAATTTCACAAAGTCGAGACTGTGAATTTGTCTATGACGGCCACCCAGCCTGATTCTATTGGTTGAATTAACAAAGATACACAAAGAAACATTCTTTAAAATAAAATGGACTACAATAACATTAGTATTCTTTACAAAATGAATAAGATAGATCAAATAAATTCTTCTTTCAGTATCAACACAGAAAAGCTTATATTTACCTGCTTGCATTTGTATGTATACGCATGAGTGTGTGTGTGTGAGGGAGAAAGAATTAAAAAAAAAAAGAGACAGACGAGGTGAAAAGAATAAAGAAAGAGACGAAAAATGAGTGTGATCGGGGGTGTGGGAGAGAGAAGACGTGTGTTTGGTGAGCACCAATTGAATATAGCCAGGTTTCTATACTATTGGCATTCCTCTCACTGGCTAGCCAGTGGGAAAAGCTTTCAATTCCCAAAGGAAGGAACCAAACAAAAAGCAAATCAAACAAACACAAAAAGACTCATTGATACAGTCTGTGAAGCCACATTATGGACTTATAGAGGCTAGGAATAAATTAGGATAGACGAGCAGATCCGTATTATTCACAACTCAGACCACACAGACACCCGTCCATCCGTCTAATCAACCCATCCAACCATTTAACGCAAGCAGAGGGTCAGAGGACACATCGGGGACGTTCTTAGGATAAGATACTCTGTTTGTGTAGCGAGACACTTGAGTTCTCTCAACATTGAAGGTCTGTCAACATCCATCCCATCAAAAACTCTCCACTTAAGACTTTAAGTAGTTTTGTAGAAAAAAAAAGACTCCTTCCTTATTCTGTTTTCCTTTTGAAAGTTCTGAGCGCACTTGTCGTCCTTAGCATTACACTAGCTGCGTGTCCGTGCCTATGAGGACCCATTGAAGCCGAAGAAAAATCCCAGAAATGGTTTTGGATAAAGCTCAATGAGAACTCCACGGTGCACGTCTTGAGCACTGAATATTCCAGCGATATAGCGACTGACCCACTGAACTTTAACTAAATACAATGTCGAATAGTTAAAGGTGATCTGAAGATTGGTTTACAGTGGAGAAAAAGCTTCCTAAACTCAACAATAGGATCTGATGATATTCCATACACACGGTACAGAAGTGGATATACAGTGCAAACAGAATGTATATGCATCTAATACTGCTGAAATAGTGTGTGGGACATTGCCAGATGGGCCAGGGGGTGGGTCTGTGGTTTATTCCCAAGCGCAAACCCTCTTTCTGGGTGAGACCCAAAACTTCAGAGTCCATGACAAAAGAATAAGCAAACCTTTGACCTCCTCAAAGCTGTGCAAAGTTTGATCTGTGGATTATACGGGTGGTTTGATTTCACTATTCACTTTGAGTTTCACATCTGAAAGAGAATGAGAAGAGGAAAGAGATTACATACATGTTAAAAATAGCAAGCAACACTTTACTTGAAACTTTTTATAAACAATTGTGATTGGCATTAAAATACAGTACACTACCATTCAAAAGTTTAGGGTTGGAAAGATTTTTTTTGATGTTTTTGAAAGAAGTCTCTTATGCTCATCAAGGCTATTGAAAACAGTTGTGCTGCTTAATATTTTTGTGGAAACCTTTTTTTTTTAAGATTCTTTGATGAAAATAAAGTTCAAAAGAACAGCATTTATTAGAGATAGAAATCTTTTGTAAAATGTCTTTACTGTCACGTTTAATCAGTTGAATGCATTCTAGTGGGAAAAAAAGTATTCTTAAAAAAACAACAAAAAAAAACAATGTGTTGCCTAAGCCCTAACACATATCAAACAACATCATCCAGATGTGCCAAAATTATTTCTGCACAATATATATTCGTGCGGACGATTTACTAATTTGTTCCCTCGATTTATAAATCGTGTGCACGATATAGCAAATCAAGGGAATTAAAAAGTCAATCCTCCGCACGATTTATAAATCGAGGGAACAAATTAGTAAATCTTGCGCACGATTTAGCCTACTATTTTTTTCCTGCATGTCATGTGCGGGGCTCTGTAATTTTGTACTTTTATAACAGAAGAGATGCTTTTCAGTTTTGTAGCTGATTGTGACCAAATACCTTTTTGTTTTTATCAGACCTACAAAAAAATAAAAAGACCTATGCAAGAGTGCACTCAAGAGTTTACTGCTTAGGTGCTTAAAGCAACACTAAGTAAGATTTTTTACCTTAAAATAATATTTTCAAAATCGTTTCAGTGGTTCATCAAGTCGTGACATGGTGAAATACACTTATGCCACCGCTTTGCGGTCCTTTATCTGATATATCCATGCTATGTAAGATTGCCAGATCGGGTCGCGTTTCTGTAGTCCGAATGAGACATAAGAAAACTACAAGTTTGTCTTGCTTTACGTCAAGCGTTACAATTGCCAATAGGTGGAGCGTACTCGACAGTAGACTACAACTACATGTAAAATACCTAGCAGCCGGGTAGCTTTATGATTCCAAAGCCGGAGCTGGATAAACAGAGAGTGCGTGCGCGTGCGTGCGACAGTAGGATGCGGGAGGCTAAATTATTTACGACAGCGGTAATGGACAATTCCGCTTCCAACCTGTAGGGTGACCGCAGAGGAAAAGTTACTTGGTGTTGCTTTAATACACTAAATGTACTTTTCCAAATACCTCAGGGGGGATTAAATGCCGCTAGGTGGAACAAACTGTAATTTGAACTACTGTCTGTTCAAAATAAATGAAAAGAAACCTAGCATTGGGGATTGGTAGCTTTTTCCTGTTGTCCCGAACTCATATTATATCGTGTCCCTAAAATCGAGGTATGTTGCTTTCTCTTATCTATGGGTCACGGATGGAGAAACACTTCCTTGTGCAATAAAATCCCAAATGGAGGCCATGCCATTGTGTGTAAGGGTCTATTTTTAGCACATTGAGTTGCATTTGAATAAGTTGTTTGGCTCTGTATGTGTGTGTGTGTGTGTGTTTACCGGCAGCTGTGCTCGTTGAGTGTCTTCCCTCTCTTTGTACAGCTCACCTCCCTCAAACTGCACCTGCATTCACAAGAGGGAGGCTGTGATGTCATCCTGTGGGCGGGGCATGGTGGACACACCTCTCTGGCAGGTGGTGGAGGGGCGGAGCTAGGCGGGAGGGCAGGAGGGGGAGGAGGAGGGGGTGTAGTTGGCACAAGATTCCTGCTGGCATGAGAGGGAAGAAAATTAGCTGTTGGTGAGAAATAAAGACAGTGTATGCCCTTCATATGCCAAATATGAGCATTTTGTCATTGTTTATTGGCTTCCATGTCTTTCCAAACAAAACAAGCATCATGAAAGTAATACCTATGTCTATTGAACTATATTTCAAGTGTGCTAAAGCCATGTGATAGATTTGTGTGAGGAGCCATTTTGAATCTTAGTGGTACAAACCATCATGAACTATTTTGCGTTAAACAGTAAAAAAAAAAAAAAAATGGGGGAGGGGTACTGTAAACTATTCCTTTGAGTTCAATTTCAAGTTGAAGAGCACAGATGTCCTAATGATATGAGGAATTTTAAAATAGTAAGGAAAGCTTCAAACCGATTGAGTAAAGCAAATCTGATCATAATACTTGCTCTGACAAATCCGGCACCGAGAGAATTATGTAAAACCGCAACAACGGACAAAGAGCACGTCGGTCCATGCAATCATTAACTTTGCAAAACCAGACCTAAGCCTGCATCTCCACATTAGACTTGAAATTAAATTCAGTAACAAACACAAAAAGACCCATAATGCATTCTGAGCATGCATCAGCCCTGATCTTCTTTTTGGACGGCGGCACCACAGACACACTCTGGATATTGTCTGTGGCCGCCAGTTCTTTGATGTCTCATTTGTGACGTCTCTGATGGGATGGTGGCCTGATGGGGCTGTTTTTCCCTCTCCCCTTTATTTAACTAAACCAAAACTGAAGAGAAGTGTATAGCTGAGAGTTAATTAAGGAAGAAAATCAATCTTTGTGTGGAAGTGGTTTGAGAGGCTGATAGAGCATGTGGAGGGGAGGCTGAGGAAAAGGGAGGGGCGTTCTGGCTGGCAAATTAGCCTGATTTCACACTTGCCACTGACTCCATCAATGAAGGAGTGCATGATGGATAGCAGGGAGGGAAAGACGGTCCAAAAGGAGCCCTCACTTGCCCCCACCAAAAACCAATGACGAAGAAGCGAAAGTAGAAAAGGAAGGAGAGGAACTGATTAATTGTTTCCCTTCGACCGGAATGAATTAATTGTTCTCTGAGATGAAGTCAATGTTGCATGAGTAAATGTGCAGTACGGCACGTACAAAAAAAGGGATTTCGAGGGAAATTCGCAGTTCTCTTTGACCAGAAATTTGCTTTAGTGCTTCGAAATAGGTTTTAATATTTAATAATATTGATGGTACTAAATAAATAAAGGCAAAGCAAAATTTCATTATTAAACATCTTGCTAAACGGCTTCTATTAAATGTATATCAATGATACTTTCTACAATGGCAAAAGAGTACCAAAATGTACCATGTTAGTCTTTGAAGTACCTTAAAGTGCAAATGAAAATACCATGGTAAATTAATATACTAATCCTTTAGTACCAAAGTTAATCCAAACAGCCTGAAAACAAGATTGCAACACTGTGTACAACATTATGATATCAATAAGCCTCACCAATAAGCCTTTTTTAAGCCTCACCTAATTTTGTTAGATGTATAATTTACACAATTTCTTCTTCTCAATTGTATTTATCTTGTTTTCAGAACATTCAGATAATAATAAGAAAGTACCGATTAAGAAAATTACTTTTGTGTAACATCACAGTAATAATTTTTTTATAAGATGAACATACAATGAATTTTTCCCCACGTGTTTCTTTCGTTTTGGTTTCCCCTTTTGTCGCTTTTTGCCTCTTCTTGTTGTCTGTGGGCCTTGCCTAAAAAAAAAAAGACAAAATATAACATATATTAAATATAAATATTATATATAACTAAATAGGTATAAAAAGTACATGACCAAGACTCCATTCAGCTAACTTTATTGCACAGACTCTCTACACTCTTTAAACATTTTATGTCCTCAAGGGCCAGTGGCCTAATTAAGCAATAAAATGAATGTTCTGTTCCGTTTCCCAACAAAGGAGGGTTCTAGGTTTCTGACTCCCTTCCAACAGTGCAAGACGCACGCCAGCTGGACACACACACACACACACACACACACACACACACACACACACACACACACACACACACACACACACACACACACACATTAACTCCATGGAGATGGCTGCTTGCTGAGTTAATTGTGTGTGAAAGGCAGAAGTGGTTGGTTCAGTCTGTTCTGCTCTGATACTAGTTTACTCTGACCCTGATGTTAAAGAGAAAGGCTACTGCTTTTTACAAATATCCCTTTCATTGTCCTGTCTAGGATCCTCTAGATGAAAAACACAAGTCCGACTGCTTAGACAATGTGCCACAGGATTTGTCTGTTGCATAAACTGTACTTAGTCTGTTTGTACAAACTACTTTTAAGTATGAGGAATAATAATGATCATTTTACACCACTATTTTTGAGTTTTATTGCAAGCTTGAGGCTCATTTTAGTGTGTATCCTGACATCAGTATATGCTAATTATAACCAATACTGTTATTAGAACTGGTGAGAGCAAGTGGTAAATCATAAAAAAAAATATTTAAGTGGGATGTAATGTGTGAACTTGGCATTGGTCCTCAGCTTCACACTTCCCTGTGTTGTAATTTGTTTTACAAGTAATTCTCCCCTCTTTATTGCCAGTGAACAGCCAATCTGTTAATTTAACGTGGAATTTACTCGGTTCAACTTACATTTATGGAAAAAGATCTTTTGAATAAGAAACAAGGAACATAAAGTTTTTCAAATTCCCAGTGAGCTCATCCCAGTAGAAAAATATTTATGTAGATGAAGATACCTTAGGAAAACACTGCATTTGTGTATTTGTTGGTTAAAAAAAAAGGTCTCAGACTTCTAAAAGACTCCATCCGTGTGTGTGTGTGTGTGTGTGTGTGTGTGTGTGTGTGTGTGTGTGTGTGTGTGTGTGTGTGTGTGTGTGTGTGTGTGTGTGTGTGTGTGTGTGTGTGTGTGTGTGTGTGTGTGTGTGTGTGTGTGTGTGTGTGTGTGTGTGTGTGTGTGTGTGTGTGTGTGTGTGTGCAGTGGGGCAAAGGGAAGAGAGGGCAAATGCTGTTCACATTGCTGGTAAACTTCACATCACTCAATCTCTCACTCTCTTTCACACACACACACACACACACACACACACACACACACACACACACACACACACACACACACACACACACACACACACACACACACACACACATTACCTGGTTGGCTCTGCATAAAGATTTGCTTTTAGCCTGTAGGGAAAAGACAGACAGTTAAAACAAAATAATAATGAAATTTACAACAAATAAAAGAAAGATCACATATTATAATAGCATACACACAGGGATATTTAAAGGTTGAGCACCGTTATTATTGTTCATATTTTATTTTATTTTTTTAAACTATAACCCATTAAATAGTATTAAACTGTGGCATGTAACTCGTCCTGCACTGCTGAATGAAAAAGAGAGCGTCAAGTATATCTACCCTGAGCACAAGTGGTGCTACACGAAGCAACAGAACTAGATACACACATTATGATCGACAAAGCTATTCTAAGCACTTACAGTGAGAACATCTTGTTTGGTTGTTATGCCTCTGGGTGAGTAATAAGATTAATTTACAAAAGGTTTAGCAATTCATTAAATCATATTATTATTTAATAATTGTGAAACAAAGCATCTGGATATGCTAATACACTCACCACTGATTGGTGCACAGTGATTTCTGCTTGTTCAAGTAAGTGCCATCTATTATCCGTAGCAACACAAATAGATAATATCGAAAACGTGACAGACAACTTAACTCAAAATGGGCAGATTTCTAAACTCGTTCCTGGCTTTAGATCAATCCCCATATATATGTCGGATTTATATACAGTATTTGTCATAAAATAATGGTTTTAGCATGTCGGAGTGTAAACGTTATCAGTGAGATAAATGTTTCATTAGCAGAGCGATCAGAACGGGCGCAGGTAAACAGAGTTAATAATGTTGGCTGGTTGCCTGCGTGGGAGTTTGAGTAACTCAGGGTTGGTCAACAGTAGTGAGTTCAGTTTGTACGGGGCAGATCAGTATTACAAAGAGAGGATAGAGAGGCGAGCGCATGTAAATGCTCTTACCGAAAGCTCAGCTCCAACCCTGGCCTTAATCCGAACCCCACAACCTCTGAAAGGGCTTTTGAGGAGAACCTCACAATGACCTGATAAAGAGCTGATGGTGACAGCTCGGCTACGTGCCAACAGAACAGTGTTTCGGGGGTGACGACTTTCTGTGACTGGGTTCAGGAAGTACTCCGTGGGGAGATGGGGTCATTCCCCATGTGACAAACAGGGTGGACGTGCATTTGTGGGTGTGTGGGGTGATCTGAAAGTCAGATAGGCTTTGGATTGGTGTGTGTGGGTGGGTTTACTTAGCTATTCTTTGAGGACAAAATTCTCCCCACAAGTTGGCAAAATGTTACAAAACCTCCCTTTCGAGTGGTATTCAATGGTTAAAATGATTAATATAGTAACTCTTACACCGAATTATGCTTAATAACCCGACAATGAGGTCATGTAAACTCCTTAAACTGTGTTCTTTTATCACACATATTTATGACCTTTAAAAATGTTTGCTCCAAATACACTACTGTTTAAAAGTTTGGGGTCCATACGATTTTTTTGAAAGAAATTAACACTTTTATTCAACAAGGACACATTAAATTGATCAAAAGTGACATTCAAATATATTCAAATAGAAAACTGTTAATTTAAATTGTAATAATATTTATCAATATACCTGTATTTTTATCAAATAAATGCAGACCCCAAACTTTTGAACAGTAGTGTATACCTGCTTTCTGGGGGATTATTCAATGTGCGAATGTCATTTTACGTTTTGAAAACCAAAGAAAAAGCTATTTCAAAATAATTTTTCTTACGTTTTCAGGTTTTTCAATGATCTGAAGTTTTGTTGTACATGTAAATTATTTTATTGTTGTAAAAATTTAAGCCACAAGTACCACAATTTCTGAATACGAGAGCGTGTCATGTGAACGGCCTCTTAGGGTTTGGATTAGTCAGTTTGTTGGAATATGTATGTGTGAGTATGTATCTCACCTGCACTCACACTGGTTGTGTTCAATGAAAGGCAGCTGCACAAGGTCATGCTTCATGAATGAGGTCCTCATGAGCTGTTGAGTTTAACAGAGCAGGAGTCAGTACACACACACACACACACACACACAATCTCTTCTGCATAGTAATGACTCCATCTTTTATCCTTCAATCTCTCTATACAGTACGTGACCAGGATCCGACCTGATTCATTACACTAGAGACTCCATCTACCCACACACTGAATATGTATGACTAACTCATGCTGTGTGTCCTCTGTGTGTGCGTCTCTCTGGCTAAGACATGAGGTTTGAGATCTTGTATTATACGGGGGGTAGTGTGTGGAGTAGCCTCGTGTGTAGCCAGCCCTTTGCCTAATGACATAAGGTCTGGGCTCTATAGCCACCAATGACTGCACACTTAGTCAGGAAGAGGCTGTGTTACTTACATGTAAAGCGACCAATCCCAGTTTTGTTTTCTTTAAAGTCATGTTTAGGGGTGGGTACAATAACAGACTGGTATGCTGTAACAGACTATCAATACTTTCATGTTTACCTGCATATGCAGCACATATTTCTTGATCTTCTTTTATAGATGTGAGAGGACACACAAAATAAATAAAAAATCACATTGGGAATCGAAAGGGTTGGCCAAGCTTGGAAAATAATACTTTCCCTGTATACCGTCGGTAAACATGCTAAAACATCTCTTTTGAATACAACTAAGTGCCTCAAACAAAACACATGATGTCTTAAAGTTTCAATGCTGTAAACTTCTCAAACTTTTTTTAAATCCATCATTTTGTTGCTCATCTGAAGTATTAATTTGTGCGACATCGGATCTTTTAAACACTGCTTTGTTTCCTGGCGGACTGCTATAGATCGCCGCACACTAGGCTTCCAAAAAACTTGTAGAAGTCAGCCAATCAGATTCAGACTTTTGCCTTTACAAAAGTGTTTCCATTTTTGTGTGCCATACGCATCAGACGTTTAGCGAACAGAGCGTGGGCGGGCCGTGGGTGTGACGTCTCACGCTGAGATTATGTGTGGAGGTACTTACTCCAAACTGTATAAAAACTGTTTTATATGACCTGATCTGTATGTGTGTGTGTGTGTAATGTGAGTGTTCCATACAGCCATGTTAAGCATGTGAATGTAAGTTAGCACATGTATGTGTGAAAGGTCTCTATGAAGGGAGAAATTAGGCAAAAATGTTGCATAGTGTTATATGTACACTACCGCTCAGAAGTGTGGGGTCAGTAAGATATTTTTTAAACAAATTCATATTTTTGAAAAATAACAAATATTAAGCCATACAAAAACATTGGTACAAATAAGAAATGTTTCTTGAGCAGCAAATCATCATTAGAATCAGCATCATGTGACACTGAAGACTAGAGTAATATATCACAGCATTACTGTGTGTATGATCAAATAAATGCAGCCTTGTTGAGCATAAGAGACTTTAAAAAAAAAAAAAAAAAAAAAAAAACTGCCCCCAGACTTTTGACCAGTAGTGTAAGTTAGGGTTACGGTTATATAACCCTATATGATATACAGAGATCCCTCAAAAGTATTCATCTAATCTAATCTAATTAATTTTTACAGATATACATCTCAAGCACACTTTACAAGCCAAACATTTCACAAAAAGAAGTTTGTTGAATTACAAATGTAAAATAATAGATAAATTGTTTAAAATGAAGATAAAAAGTATTGTGACACTGGATGTCAAACGTTTGTGAAATATGTCCACAGTTAATGTGATGGACGACCTGAGGTAGGACACCTGTGGGGTGCATTTGTGTGCGTGTACCTCCATTACAAGTGTGTGTGTTTGTGATGGCACACACTCGAGCGCCTCATCGGAGCAGCAGCCTCCGCAGCGGCGCAGTGTTACACACGACGGCAGGAAGAGGTGATGCGTCTCCCAAGGAAACTCCCGCCAAACCTCCACCAGCGTCTCTCTGGGATGACATCCGCTTCTCTGATACACATCCAACCACCTCACCACTGAGAGAAAGAGAATAAATGCAAGATACAGAGTAAGAAAACACTTCAGTCTTAAAGGGATAATTCACCCCAAAATGAAAATTCTGTCATCATTTACTCATCCAAATATGTATGAGTTTCTTTCTTTTGTTGAACACAAGAGAAGATATTTGAAAGACTATCTATTTTAGACAACCTGCTTCATCATTAATTGAAAACGACATTATATGTCAGTGGAGATCATACAAAATTGGGGTGATGTGAGCAGAGCGCTTGGTGTGGAAAGCAAGATTTCCTTGCTTTTATAAACTGTATTTAAATGATTTACATGTCAGAGATGAGATTTATAGAGCATAATTTGTATTTAACCCAGAACATTCCTCCGAATATTAAGCACCAATGTGCCGGTACTGGTAAAGAAACCAATACACTGATCTGAAGCACTTATAAATGTAGAATTAAATATCTTTTTACTCCCCAAAACATAAGTGACCTTCCGCTAAAATAAATAGTCCTTGAAATCAAAGTTAATACACTACAGTCCAAAAGTGCGTGCGGGATCGTTATGATAATAACAGTAATATTATTATGCTTTTAAACAATTGTGTTCTATTTTAAATATTTTATAAGTAGTTTGTTCCTGTGATGGGTAAGTTGAATTTTCAGAGTATTCAGTGTCACATTGTCCGCTGATTTGCTACTCAATAAACATTTCTTATGATTGTGTATTCTTATTAATGTTGAAAACAGTTGTGCTTAATATTTTTGTGGAAACCATGATACATTTGGTCAGTATTCCTGATGAATGAAGTTCAAAAGAACAGCATTTATTCCAAATAGAATTTTTGTAACTTTATAAATGCCTTTCATTGACTGTCACTTTTGAACATCATTGGATAATTTCTGAATTAAAGTATTATTATTATTTCATACTGAGCCCAAACTTCTGAACTGTAGTATAGTAGACAGTAGCTGGCAAAAAGGCATTTTACCATTAGCAATAAGGACAAAAAAAAAAAAATCTATTTTATTGTATAAGCTCACTAAATGAGTAATGCACCTATGATAATAGGTGTAGAAAAGAAAGCAAGACTCAATACCTTCTCCAGACCTGTGGCTCTCTGTTGGCATCCAGTGGTCTGTCTAGAGGAAAGGACACAGACAAGGAGTCAGACACAACATACAGCAGAGACAAAAACAAAACCGCATATATGGTGCTGTGAAGAACTGATTCCAGTGAACATATGCTAAAAACATAAATAATGATTCTTTAATGCTTTTCTAGTGTTTATTTGTGCCAGAGCAGCATAAAGGTGGACGTTAGCACACATTCACACAAACATGCCCCTCATACAATGGGGTCCGAGCACTGGAACAAGGTCACCGCTGAGAGAGAGAGCAGACTTTGCACTACAGCGCAAACAACACACGCATACATGGCTTCCCTGCACCATGCCTGACTACTTTCTGTGAGGGTAGTTTTCTGAGCATGTGAGTCAATCGCATTACAGGTGATCTCACACTGATATAAGCCAGCGCATTCAATTATACCCTCACAGACTCACACACACATGCTGTGAGAATGAGTGTTTCTGCACGTTTATTTCGCAACGATGGGATCAAAGCAATAAATAAAGGTTTAACGTAATTAAACACAATATTTATCAGAAGACATGGCAGATCCTTGCACGGCATGGGGTTTAGTTACGTGTGGAGAGGCGTCTGCAGAGTCTGTGTTGCAATATGAAGGTTGAGTCAGTCAATTTCTCATCAACCTCCTGCCTCAGTGCCATTGTGAAATACAGCAGCCAGCACAGAGCTGGCAAGGGGACTGGCACACACACATATTAACATTCACTTTCACTCCCTGAAATGCACACACACTAAAAATCTCAATGCTGCCAGGTTTTTTTTTTGTTGCAGCAGCAGTTGGCTGGATTTGGCTGCGTCAGTCCTCTCTTTCTAAAAGCCCTTGAGTTTGAGCACCAATCATCAGCTCAGCTGCCCCGCTTCTCCCACAATCCCCCTCCACCTGAAGACGTGGGTCAGGCTGGCATTTGTGAACGGACTCGAGCGTTAAGAAGTTAGGTTTTCAAACTTTCAAACAAAGCTATCAGGCACTGCTTTATGGCAGATCCAAAAGTCTCAGATCACGTGGGAAAGCTGGGATTCTTTTTTACATTCAAACTTGGAAGTGAACTAGACGTTTTAGGATGTTCACGCATTAAAAAAAAGGAGAAGTTATGATGTAAAATATTTACGATTTTGGACTATTTCTAGGTCAAATATAACCAAAAACATGAGAACTCCATTGAAGCAAAAGATGCACTTTGGAACGAACTTCTCTAAACATTCTGGAGAACATGACCATCAGGTTTCGTTCATGTCAGTTCCAGTGCTGCTGACATTAAAGTCGGCATGAAAAGGAAGTTGCGATACTCTTTTCTTCCTTATTGTGATGAATATCTGAGGGAAACAGCTTCTCGAACAAGACAAAATGTACACTCCTGGGCAAAAAAAGGGCCAAGCCAAAAATGGAAAAATATTTAGTGATCTTTTAATGGACTCTTAACCATTTCAAATCACAAATCACTGGTCAGGAAATTAGCATGAATTGCACAAATACTCTAGATACAGTAACTTTGTATTCTTTAAACGTTTAAGCCGTGTGGTAAACTTGCTGACAGCTTCTTACAGGAAGAAGAGGCAATGTACTTCCACTCAATGTCAACGGCTTTAAATAGTTCATAAGCAGTCGAAAAACGTCTCCCAGTTAGTTTGAGTTTAATATGAAACCAAATATTGTCTCTATGGTTCAAATCTGGACTCTGACCAGCCAAAACATCAGCCTGATGGACTTGTTCTCAAGCCACATCTTGGTTGTGTTTGGAATTTGGGCAGGAGCATTGTCTTGTTGAGAAATAACATCTGATCAGTCCATAGCTAACAACGTTTCAGTAGTGGGAAGCAAGCCATTCTGCAATATTCTCATCTCCTGTACTCGAAAGCATTAAATGACTTTTCACAGTGACTTAGCTCACCGATACCAGCTAACATGACACTCTTCCTCCATGCTTCACTGTGATGCATTAGCAACTCGTGTTTCATTGTGATTCATCACTCCACACACAACTTCCCATATTCTGCTAACATATTTATTCTTTTTTTGATGTATTTCTGAGACAGCAATGGCTTTTTAAGTAGTCCATTTGCTTAAGTTTTGCTAATTTCCTGACCAATATTTTGTGGTTAAGAAACCTTTGTGTTTAGCCATTTTGGGCCTTTTTTTTTTTTTTTGCTTAGGAGTTTAGGGCGGGACTGGATTTTGTCCATAGATAATTGATTAGATGGTTGTGGTTTGCTATTGGTGGATCTCATGTGAGTGACAGGTTGCCCCGCCCTCACGACAGTAAACACATCATCAGAGAAGAGAAGAGATGCTGCAAGAGGGAGAGAAAGTTATTTTTTAGACATTTAAAAAAATAAAATAATGATGTGCACTGTACAGATAAATCATTTATAATAAATACTGCAATATTCCATTTTTAAAAATCCATAAAAAACAAACAAAAGATTTGTTCATTTTGATTTCATGGTGACTTTAAAGCAAGAGGAGACAAACCAAATACTATGTATATTGTTCAATTTCCACTCACATTGTTATTTTGATAATATTATTTGAAATACAAGTATGCAAAATGGAAGTATTTTCGCTAGTGGCCTCAGACTTCTGGACTGCACTGCATACACAGAAAACGCTCACACTAAGCAATATAGCAGCTTCATCATCACTGTGCACGTGACAGGGAGAAACCTAAAGGTCACAGGGTTAGACTTTTGAAAATCTTGCCATACCATATCATGCACTTTCACCAAGACTGGCAGCATGCCATGCAATGTAATGCAACATTCTGAAGGTTTACATTTCACGGCATCTTCAGCATCATCAAAATTAAATATACTAGAGCCAAACTGCAGTCTAAAATAAATAAAAGAAGTTTCGGCTAAACACAACAGGACAAACGATGAGTGGAGCTGCATCATTATGAAGACTTATGATATGCATCCATAAAGCAGAGCTCTGGTCACACGTACACCGAGCAGACCACATACCGCTGCGCTTGCGAAGAACGGAGATGCGCAAATTCAGTGCATTCTGCCATCCTGCTTTCATAGAACTCGCAATGCTGATGTTCTAACAATAGGTGTCATATACTGGCCTGATGGCTGTAATGTTGACAAAAGCTTGTGTAAGTGAAGATAACGATAAGATAGGAAGTGCGTCACTGTCTATCCTTCGGAGATCCAGACAAAAAAGAAAAAAGAAAAAAAAGGACATAAATATAATGTTATGGGCAAACCAATATAGGCTACATATTAAAATATGGGGTTTTTTTTTACGCACACAAATTATTAAACAGCCACTAAGAATATACGAGGTAGGCCTATATTAGAAACTGTATGAACTAGCCAAAATATTGAGACTCAGCACAAAAAAGTAAAAATAAATCAATTAAAAAAATTTAAAAACTTAGGCTAGTGTTAATAAAAAATATTATATTACCACATTAAATTATGTATTTAACTATTTGAAACATTTAATAATATTATAGCATTATATTATAGCTATAATGTGAATGTCACCTATTATCATAGCTATAATTATTGTTATAATTAACATTATTACCATCCCCACATTATTAATTATCATATAGGCCACACCCCCACGATGTGCTCTTTAACACCCTCAGCTCGCTGTGCTCTCAGGCAACAATAAACACAAAAACATATACCCACTGTAGTGATCACAAATAAATTGGTGGGTTTTATCAAAGCATTATATCTTTAAAAGCAGCACCTTTCCCATCCTGCCAAACGTCAATGACCGTCAGGTTATTTCAACATATAAAAGCTCAGACGAGTGTTGTGCATTAACTCAGCTCTATAAAGTGCATTTTACAAGCAATGGCGTAAAATCTGCCATAATAAAAGATACTTATTAAGTGTGATAAAAGACAACCACACCAGAGTTAGGCTAATTTAATCAATTTTAGTTTAAAGATTAATTAAAATATAAAGAACACACACTTTATAGCAGCTAATTAAAATAATGAGTACTGCGAGAGCACTCTAATGCTACTGTCCAATATTTTAAATAACAATATAATTATCATTATTATAATACAGAGCATGTTCTTACCGGTGTCTTGGCACATTGTGTGGGTATTCTGGTAAGTGAGACGAACTGAAACATTCCCAGAATAACTCTCAGTTTGATCCCCATTGTTTGAGTTCACCAAGAAAAGTCAGAAATAGTTGAGTAAATAATATAACAAGAGGTCCAACGTCCAGTCCTGTATACAGTTGTTAATTCTCTATGAATGATTATTCCACTTTCACATCCGAATCCAACATCTTTAATCCAAACAGTGACAATTTACTCAGTAGATTCTCAAAAAACAGGGCAATTGTCATTCCTGTCATGGTTTAGCGATAAAAGAAACACAAATGAAATATCTTAAGTTTTAAAGCAAATAAAAAAGGGAGACAACACGGGCTCCTTGAGTATAAAGGCTTTTGAGATGCTCAGATGACCGTAGGACGTATTTATTATAAATAACTAGCTATAATAATCCCAATGGGCTATATGTTATTTTACAGGAGAGTTTTCCATGCATTTCGCGCATTTCATTTACCGGCTCCCTCGCAGCAGAATTCCCGGTGGAAGTAGAGTAGGCTACGTCCTTATGGTCCAGAGAAACATATATCCGGTAACAAATAAATATATCCTCAAGAATCGATGTAATGAGCCTCCTGAAGGTCTCTGTGTCTCCCGTCTGGTATTTCAGACCCTTTGCTTTGTGTGGCGCATCCCGTGCTACTGTAGGTCACCAGTGAAATCATGCCCACCAAAACCTATGATGACGCTTTGCCTGTCAGACACAAGATCTTATAATTTAAATGTTCGACATATTCATAATATATACTGTTAACATGCGCAAGGCAGTGCACATGCGCCTATATGGAATAGTAATCAGAGAAATGCACCTTGATATGGTTAAGGTCGTTTTCTCCAGTCTCTTATTTGCCCTTCAGGACTCACACGCTCCGCAACTCTCGGTGCGCGTCACCGTCGCGCTCGTGGTGGAACTTTTCTCTTTTTTTTCCCCCTTGACGCGCAGACTTTGCTCGCGCGCAAACTAGCACAGGTGTAATGCTCGCGCATCGTGAGGTGGACAATTATTAACTGACTCCCCCTGTCTATATCTGAGTGCTTGTCTCTGTCAGGGTTTTTTAGTTATTTTTTAAAGGAGAAACGTAATTTATTTTTTACAGACAAACTGATAGGATGACGGATACAAAACGGATACTTTCGGTTCTGGATGCAGATTGGTGAATACAGCTGATAAACAGTTAAAAGCGACACTATGTGGATATTACCTTAATATCTACCTCACTTTGTTCTAACCTACTTGATTTCGTAATATTTCATAATTTTAACTTAAATAAAACCAGTTACCACATGAATCACATTTTAGGTTACCTGACAAGACATTTTTCAGTGTAGAAACGCGAAACACCTGTTTACCTAGCTACTATATCCCTGCGCAGCATCCAGAGACCCGACTGTCAACCAGGGACTATATCTTCCTGCGGAAGGATGGAACTTAAAGGGACAGTTCACCCAACAAATTAGAATTTTGCCATATTCCCCATGTCGTCACAAATCTGTATGACATTCTTTCTTGTCAAAGAAAAAAAAAAAAAAACAGTTTAGCAAAACGAGTGAGCTGCTTTCAGACAATAAAAGTAGACGGGAAAAGGGGCTGTCAAGCTCCAAAAATACATTTAAATCTAAATCTTCTGAATACAACGATAAGTTTGATTAAAAAACAAAAACAAAACAACCATTCAAACAGTCACCATTCACTTCAATGTATGGAAAACAGCAGCTTGGACATTCTACTATAAATGACTCATTTTTTTGTTCTACAAAAATAAGCCACATATGTTTGAAAGACATAATTTATATTTCGGCCAAACTATCCTTATTCTTATCCATTAATTTTTATATGATGCAATTATTTTCCAACCAATGTTGTGGACAGGACTATTTTTTGAATTTTTTAAAATTCATTCTGCAGGCGATACTTACGGTGCAGAATGACAAACTTTTACTTGCCAATTAAATAAAATTTAAAAATAAATACATAATCTAAAAGCAATTAAGACTTTGCTGTGCATCATGTTGACAATGCTCATGACTATATTATCAACATAACACAGCCTCAGAAGTCAGTACTGTGACTATCCATCTTCAGGTGTAAATTCTTAAATAATTAAGTTGTGCAGCATCTGAACTTGAACCCACCCCACTTTGCTTGCATGTGAAGACCCTCAACATCACCCACAGGTATGTTTGGGTTATACACAGCAAAAAAAAAAAAAAAAATCATGTGGGCTGCAGGAATGCGGGCTGTTCTATCTCTCCTGGACTGCTTACAGCATTAGAGCTGACAACCGCAGAGAGCCCTTTCAGAGTGTAACTATCTAAAGGCCTTCTGGAAAACCCAGAGTGGTCAGGAGAGAAGGTCCAGTCATCACATATCCAAATAAACAAACTGGGCCAAGGTCACAAGATTTCACCATTGATACTGCTAAACTGTGGGTGATGTTGTTAGCATTTCTGAGAAGTCTCCCCAGACGGTGCCATGAAAAAGTTGAGTTTTAAAACGTCAAAATGATAGAAGGGGCTCTTGTACAGACAGACAGGCAGAAAAAAAAAACACTGTCGAAACGGTCCCTGACTCATTCCTGAAAGCTGGTATCTCCAAGATCAGACCTGAGCAGAGAGGAGCACCTGCATATGGGCCCTATGCGATATCAGAAAACCACATCAGACTGAGTCCATGGCTGTGGAGTCACAGAACGTCAACATCCGCACATGGGTTTGGGAATGTCAGGCTTACACGCATCTACTGTAGCGGATTCTAGAATGCCGTGAACAACGTTAATTGGGAATGACATACTTGACGTTTGCTAAGAGGAGTTAAAAAGTGGGACGACAAACAATAACCTGTAATTGAAGTATGTGGGATGTCTTAGGCTGTTTTATCGTACATGAAGCAAAAAGTGTTGGTCAGACTACTTACCCGGCAAGGTTTAATACTTCGGGTTTTGTTCAAATCACTAAACCCCAAGTAAAAGCAAAAGTGTTGCTTACCTTCGGATAGAAGTACACTGCCATTTAAAAGTATGGGGTAAATAAGTTTTTTTTTTTATTATTCTTTCATTTAGCAAGGACACATTAATCAAAAGTGTCAGCAAAAACATTTATAATGTTACAAAAGATTTCAAATAAATGCTGTTCTTTTTAACTTTCTATTCATAAAAGACACCCGAAAAAGTATGTCTGAAATCCACAAAAATGTTTTCAATTACAATTACACATTCCATTACAGGAATAAAAAAATAAAATAATTATATATATATATATATATATATATATATATATATATATATATATATATATATATATATATATATATATATAATATTAAAATGTGTTTATTTTATATTTTTGATCAAATAAATTCAGCTTGGGTAAGCTTAAGAGACTTTTTTCAAAAATCTTTCAAAAATCTTAGCGACTCCAAACTTTTGAACGGTAGTGTACAAGAACAGTGGAGGACTTTGCAAAAATCTGCAGAAACACACACACATGCATTCAGATGAAGAACTTAGTTACATAATTGAGATCCATATCATCTTTAATTATTCATTGCCACAAAAACCAATGATATTAAGGCTTGCATTAGAGTTATTCCACACAGAATCAATATTTCATTTTTAATAATGAAGGTGCTCTGGTAATTTAAAGTTTCTGACTATTGCAGAATTTACATTAAATGTCAAACCCTAAAAAAAACCAAACATATCCAGTCTTTAAATAAGGCAATGACATGGATATCTAAGAAGACTTCATTTGCAGAGCGATGCCTTGTGACAGCCAGGGTCTGCCCAGAGTTTGAATCCAGGATAAAGGACTTGTTTAATATAATCTTGTTATATAGTTCTTATATAATAACTTGTAGGAAATGCATTTGATATGCAGACTAGATCTATTACATGGGGGGAAAGAAACGTCTCATTACTTGCCAAAGCACCATTTACTTCCTGTTCAAGAAAGAAAATCTGATGTTCCATTCAATAGGCTGGAAAATAGCCAGCACCTGAAATAAGTCACACTGGACAGGACTGATCTGTCCATCTTTAGAACATTCTTCCATGAGAAACTCTGCGACACATACACACACACACACTGAGCTTAACAAAGTGCACAATGTACAGTGTTTTCAGTGTTTTGATGAACTACTTTATCAGGAATGCAATGTTTCCATAACACCCTTTCCAGGTGCAGTTACAATGTCGCCTAAAATGCAGGCAATACAGTAAATGTACAGGTGTTCTCAACACCTGATGAGGAGCCATGGTCTCCTATAATCAGCCTAATTTCCCTTGCACCCTCTGTGACCTTATCACAGAGTTGGGTGAAAGAACAGGCCAGAAAAAACAGGTAGAAATATTACTGCATGCTAAAAAAATGATAACATTTTGAAACACGCAGTGAGCGTCTGTCTGAGAACCTTATTCATGGATCTGACACAATGTGAAAAATTTATAAAAACTATTGACACAAAATACAATTCACATTCATCCACAACCTGCACTCTCTCCGTAACCCTGTGCGATGAGCTTCCCTTAGATCGGTCTTTTCCTTGCTTTACTTCTCTTCTCCATTACTGCGGATCTTGTATCTCTCCAGGAACTCGGCATGTTTCTGTCTCAAGATCTCCTGCTGCTTCTTAAAGCCATTCACTCTAGAGGACAAAACAGAAAGCATGATCAAATCAATTTTGTACAATTTCTTAAGAAAAGTGCTATTCCGTGGAAAAATCTCTGGTATTATGGGAGGGCAGGGTTTCCCAAATATGGGTTTGCAAGGGAACTGCGGGGGTTTGTGAGTTAATGAAAAGCTAGGAATTATTTATTTCAAATGTACAATTATAATAAAAAATGGGTATGAAGAACGTCACGATAATCGTGAGATAGCTGAGTGCAATTGTCAAATAAAAGGCTGTGATTTAATGACCTACAGTCGGAGTGTTTCAGAGTGAAGCGTGGCACTGTGTTCAGCATCTCAGAGCTTGTTGCTTCACAGTAAATGCAGCGAACTCCATCTCTGCATGTGCAGCGAGTTAAACTAAACGTGCTCTAGGTTTACTTTATTCACATATTTGCATAATCTCCAACATATTTGAAGACAGCATTTTTCAGCATTCCACTAGTATTCTACCAAAATAAAAGTTGAAACTTGTAAAAGTTTGAATGTTTGAAAGTGAAGAATTCGACATACATTTTCGTATTAATGTAAAATAAATATTTTGAAAAATATGTAATAACATTATTATAATTATATTATATATATATATATATATTTATGATATGAGGTAAACAACAATAGTAATAGTGCTGCTGTCAAATCGATTAATCGCATCTAACAAAATTTCTTTGTATATAGTTTTATATATATTTGTGTGTGTGTGTGTGTGTGTGCGTGTATGTATGTATATGTATATATGTGACAGCACTAAATAATAATAAGTATTAATATTATTATTATTCAATATGATTGTGTTCCTAAAACACCAGTGTGAATGTAATGTGGACTGAGACTCAAATAAAAAGAGGTTTGAGTCCACTTTAAAGTCCAGCTACAAAGTCAAAATAAAACACTTATTTTTAAATATTGGATCTATTTACTTGCCTGTCATATGATCAACTGATATCAGAGAACTGTGAACATACAAATGTAATGTTAAAATGTTAAATCATTGAAATATTAACAAAATCTCATTGGGTGCTTCAAGTACATATTTTAAGGGTTCGGCTGACAAAAACATTTGGGAATCCCTGTGCGAGTCTGATTTATGATATCCTGGTCCCTCAATATGGCAGCACGATGCAATTTAGCATTATTATAATTACTAAATTTTTCACCGCAAAATTGTATTCAAATAAGAAACATGATCTACACAAGCACTCAAATATTCGACCACCAAATCGCAAGTGCACAGTCCTGTTGAACATACTTAAAGCTGCTGTAGGTAACTTTTGTAAAAAAAAATATTTTTTACATATTTGTTAAAACTGTCATTATGTCCTGACAGTAGAATATGAGACAGATAATCTGTGAAAAAATCAAGCTCTTCTGGCTCCTCCCAGTGGTCCTATTGCCATTTGCAGAAATACACGCTCCCGGTCAGAAACAACCAATCAGAGCCAGGAGGAATGTCTTAGCAGTGTCAATCACGCTCGTGCACGCGCTGATCACACCCCTCTCCTGCACAGCGCGAGCCGTCGTTCAAACTCAAGATTGCCGGCGTGCTGCAGCTGTGCTTATGACGGAGAAACAACCTAAACTGCCAATTCTCGAGTGATACCTGCTCATAAAACAAAGAGGTAAAAGGAAAAAGACTGATGACGATAAACAAGCGGAAAAAAAAGAATTACACAGAGCCCATTGACTCGGTGTCAAAACTCTAGCCGCATAAAATGTAGATAAAATGTCACGCACTCTGCTAAGCAACAATTGAAACCTGCTAATTCATTGGCTTGTCATGTTGCTGAAATAATGTACTAGCACACCTTATCTAGCATTATATATCGCTAGAATAATTACTTACATACTGTAACGTTAGTTACCGTTATATTAACGTTATCTTACTAGCTATTTATAACTTATAGAAAGAGTGCAACGTTATAAAGTTACATGTATTGCAAAATACATAATGATTTGAGTATGGGCAGGCCATAGTCAATGTAAAGCATATTGTTGACGTTTAGTCCCTATTAGTGAATGTGCCATTTAACTTTTTATCCGCTGTTATCGGTGGCCCTGTTTACTAGCCTGCGCGTTCACGACAGGCTCTGCTGTGGAGGACGAGCTGTGGAGGGAGGGCTGTAGCGCAGCAGAGAGCAAGGGGGTGGGACCTGTAAGTTGTGCTTGTTTTTCAGGCTAAAGTGGGTCGCACACCGGACGAGAAGCGCAGCGCCGCGTCGCGCCACGTCTAGGACAACTCCAGGTATCGCACACCGGACGCGCACATTCTATTCGCGCGAGGACAATTTTGAATCAACTCCTGGTAGAAGAGCTGCACGATGTGTGTTTTATCTTGATTAATTATTTATTTTTTTATGTTCATTGAATAATAGCTGATGTTTGAACGTTAATCAAGTAAAAGTGTCTATCACGTTGAGTCTGTTATTTTGTTGTAACGTTATCCGTTGTCTAGGCAAATATGTCACATAATACAATAGTATTTATTTAGCTAGCGTTTAGCTAACCCGAGTGAAAACAGCACAGGGTGAAGCCATGTACATTAACGACGATTTGAGACAAATAAATGTACATTTACTATAAAACTATGCAAATGGCGCTCTGTGGCGCGGCAGGGTTTTGAACAAGGTCCTGAGCCGTAGCTGGGCGCCGCGGACAGACGCCGAATGGCGCCGCCGGTGTGTGTACACTCATAGAGAATAATGTGTTCGAATTTTAAAGACCTGGCGCTGCGCGACGCGGCGCTGCGCTTCTCGTCCGGTGTGCGACCCCCTTAAGTCAACGTTTTCTCAAAACTCCCTACTGCAGCTTTAAAATGTGCTCTTGAATTACTGTGGCGACAACAACCTTCAGTACTTCAACCTAATGAATGAGTTGCTAATAAAGTACAAATCCATCAAGGCTGTCAAATGAACATGCGATGAACCTATAATCCTCTTCCCCTGTCCCACAACTACTCTCCTTTACATTTTAACAATGTCTCCATAGTTTCAAACGCTCACGCTTTTGTGTTCAAAACCTCTGATGCGCCTCCCGAGGCTACATGTGTAACTTCAAAGTGCTCCCCACCTGGCTCTTTCTTTGGATTCATTGTAGATCTCACTGATGGCTCTGTCCTTCTCATCCATGAAGTTATTATGGACCTCTTCCAGTTTCCTGCATGACAGACCAGCCCAGAGGTCAAAGGTGAACAGATTTACTGCCAACATATATATTTGGAGGGATGAACAGACATCCACGAGGTGCCCACATAACTTTGGGGTCACATTTAAAAGGGCACACATGGGCAATAAAACATTTGATCATTTTTAAAAACATTTCAAGTGGACTTCTGCTACGCGTCAACCGAGCAGTGTCTGTTTAAAGAAGATACTTAATCTCAGTCGCCTGAATTCAAGGTGTAAAAACATTTCGCTGATACTGGAAAGCATAACTAAACATCGAGGATTATGGGAAACCAGTGAACACACTCTACTGGGGTTTGTCTGGCTCTGGGACAGACGAAATGCCTTTCAAAAACAACACACCATTATCACGCGCTCATCAGAGAACTGATGCACGAACTAAAGAAAAACATTTTGCACTGCGTTTCATGCAAACAGTTGCAAAACACTCACTTATCAGCACAGCATCATTCAGAATGTGTTGAAAAATATTAGGATGAACCGCTGTGCATGCTGACCTCAATACTATGTGCACCTTAGTGTGATATGATTAGGTCTCACCTGAACCCAAAGTAATGTGCGGAGATACTGATTAGCATGGTGAACACGCAATAGCCCACCAAACGCATGTTCCGTTTCTTTTTCTTTTCCCACTCCTCTGCCGTGTTCTCCTGAGGCTGGGCCTGTCTGAACTGCTCCCAATACCGCATGCTCTCTGTAGCCTCCGCACTGAGAAACACACAGACAGTATTTTAGCCATTGAACCATAATCTTTTGTAACCACAGAACACGTATACCCAGAAGTATCATAAAAGTCATCATGACAAGTGATCCTATTAACTTTTGTACGATTTTTTTTTTTTTTTGCTCTTATTGTGAATTATACAACAGAGCACATTTTTCTACATGGACTAAAAATTGTTTTCATAACCTTTCATAAAAATGTACAAACTTTTCTGAACAAAACGGGTCTACTTCTTGTCCGTGCAAATCTTGCCACCATGATGATGTTAGGGTGTTCTGGGTGGTTGCTTACTGGTTCAAGTCAAAAGAGCCCATCCCTAAGTCTCTATGATAGACTATTCTGGGGCCTCAATTATAAAGATGTGCGAAAATGTGAACACACGACTTCTCACCGATTTCTAAAACATCCGTATGCACCAAAAAGTTCCTAAATGCGACCCTTTTTATAAATTGCAGTTCATCTCAAATTCAAGCGTAATGTGTAACTCACACATCATCAGTGGGCAAAGAAATCCAAGTGCACTCTCAGAAAATGTATGTGTGGTAGGAAAGGCCTGGTTTCTGTTCGTGTGTGTAGGCATATATTATTATTTTCAGGAAATCATTCATATATGCATGTAATTATAACAAAATAGTTCAAATGTTGCCCATTTGTGCATATAATTATATTAATGCATAATGTGATAGCATAATTATCTTTAAAGTTTAACATGAGCACCAAAAAAGTTCATATGCATGCTTTTGTTGCCACATGCATAAGAACATTTCCACGTCAGTTTCTGCCTTTATCAATGCCGTTTTTCCCTCACTTTTGACATATGATAAAATCCATGGAATTTAGGATGAAATACGATAGTACGTGTGTTTTAAAAAACGAGGCCCCTGGTTTTCTATATATAGCAATGTTATAGCCTTCATGTTGGTATAAAATGCCCACTTTCACAATTCAGTAAAATCCCTTTTAATAAAGTCAAGTTGGTTGATTATAGAGCTAACAGTCTCCCAGTTGTTGCTCACCTGGGGCTGTTGGTGGAGCTGGAGGAGGTTCTGAAGGACGAACCTCCAGAGTTCTGGTACCTCAGCCTGAGGTCATAGTCCCGTCTGGAAACGTCTCTGCTCAGCACCCTGTACGCCTCGTTCAGATGCACAAACTGAGTGTGCAGGCCGGGATTGGAGGGGTCACTGTCTGGGTGCAACTGAAGGAAAAAAAGAAATAGAGGATGGAGGGAATAAAAGCTTGTTCCAATATCTTTACCTGTAATGTTAGAAGTGACACTTGCCAAAGCATGCATGACTAATTACTGCATTGCTGCTGTGTGAATGCTAATGACTGATCTTGACTGGATTGTAAATTTCACTGTTAGTTCATTTATAATTCCTACAAAGGCTTTCTGTTGTTGCTGCTACTAGTGCAGAAATTACATCTTCCCAAGTAGTGACAAATAAGAACTTAAAACAATGATTTTATTATTACCGCCGTCGGTATATGAGTGATTGAATGGGTGAATGTGAGGCAAATTGTAAAGCGCTTTGGTGGCCATTGGGTCTGTGAAAGCGCTATATAAATGCAGTCCATTTACCATTATTCAAAACTTAATTTATTACATTATTATAACTTGATACTTATCATGCTAGACAATCAAAGGAACATGGACTGAAATACAAACATGTAGTATCCTTAATCCATTAAATTCATAACAACACTAAATAAAGACCATCGGATTAATGAATGTGTCAAATTTAATGAATAAAAAAATGGCAAAAGTCTAATCTTTACGACCTTTTCACCTTTCTGCTCTCACTTGTTCTGTATGTCACATGGCTCATAAACCTTTTATGACTTTTATCTGCTTCTGACTTGGAAACAAAGCGCCCATATCCCCGGTTTGTACCCTCATCTCCTGTCTCTCTCTCTCTCTCTCTCTCTCTCACACACACTCACACACACACACACACACACACACACACACACACACACACACACACACACACACACACACACACACACACACACACACACACACACACTATCTTGACGTCACTCTGCCTCCTTGACCTGTAAACAGAAGTTTCTCATTCTCAATCTCTTTCTCAGACACATGCTTAATTCTCTTATTCCTTCTGTTTGTTTCCTGTGAAACTGTCCGCCCGAAACATATTGAATTGCTTCAGTTTGAGACGTTGACAAATTATACACACAAAAAAAGTGCTGAATGAAAAAATACAAGAATAAATGCCTAAATATTTAAGATTATGGGAACAGACAACAGTCTCTCTGCCACAACTGAAGAGCTCCCTCTAGGGGTGAGGAGGTAAATAACTAGTCATCCTTTTTGCACAACCATACAACATTTTCAGAATGCATCAAGCTACTTTTTAACACCAAGGATTAACTATGTATCAGAGAAGAAATTCTGAGGATCTGTCACATTTTTTGATAAATTAAATGCAAATTCCCAAATACGTTGCAATTTTATGCATATTTTGCATGCATATTGCTAACTCCCCTTCCATTCTCAAAGTATAGATGATACATTAAAATAAAATAAAATGTAATGGTTAAACCGATGTTAAGGCCCGTTCACAGCAAGAACGATAACTATAAAAATAACCATATTAGCGTTCATTCCGGCGGTTGGTAACGTTCTGGTTATTATAGGTGCATTGTAGTTATGTTGCTGTCTGTCACTTAAAATTCTCTTTAAAGCAGGATGGATTCTGATTGGCTGTCAATGTTTTTTTACCCCACCCTTCAAAAAATTCTGAAAGTGATTCCAACTACATTGTTCCTCTGTGTCATTATTGTTATAGTTGTGTTGTGGACTTCCCTATTCTCATAGAATTATTAGAACGTAGGGGTGGAACGGTACATGTATTCGTACCGAACCGAAACGGTGCGGGCGTCACGGTTCGGTGCACGAATTTACACGGAGAATACACGGTATAAAAATAAATAAAACTCGCGTGAAAATTAATTAATGCAATGCGGAACTACTGTTAGATACGCGGGTTCTTTAGGGACACATAATCTGTACCATCGGCTTAGCTCTGAACGCGCGTTCACTTCAAACGTTGGCTTTATACGCGCGTCCTATTCGCTTTGGACTAGCGTCGAACTAGACGCGAATTTGACGCTCTATTCGCGTTTGGTGTGACCGCATAATGAACAGGCTGCGATGTCAAGATTGCAATGCTGGAGTGTGTGTGTATGTGTGTGTGAGAGAGAGAGAGGCACGGCCACGATCGAACAGTGGAAACATAAAAAACATAGGCCTACTCCGTCATTTTGTTCATACAGATCATTAAACCTGCAAAGTGTTTACTTAAATTTGTGTACACTCCCAATAAAACACAACATTGTGCTTTTGTCACACTGTAAACTCTGTCCAAAATCTCTCTCTCTCTCTCTCACACACACACACAGTTTTAAAAGCAAAACATATTTATCCAACTCCATTTCAAAACAGTCTGTGGGTCCCATCTTTTGGACATTCATCGCATTGGTTTTCATTTCTCGTTCTCGGAGCACTAATCTTACACATTCTACATTGATTAAAAAAGAAAATCGAATGCGTTTTTAATGGTAGTATTATTTTATACAGAAATCAATTATTTATAATTCAGATGAGAATAATGTTACATTGTTAATTAATAATGTTAATTAAAATTAAGGAAAACAAATATATTGATCTGAAATATAGCAAATTAATTTTAAATTAATTCAGGTACAATTACCAAACGTCTTTTTGTCTTTTTATTAATTTAATTAATAAACTAATTATATAAAACTATTGTCAGTGCACTACAAATAAACTGGTTCTATACCTTTATTAATAAAAACTTATTTAAAAAATACAATGCCTTCTGCATTTTTGTTTTGCTTTTCCCTCCATTGTACCGAAATCGTACCGAACCGTGATGTCTGAACCGAGGTATGAACCGAACCGTGACTTCTGTGTACCGTTCCACCCCTAGAACGGTTATTAAAATGTTGTAGTTATAGTTATTGACCTTACTGTCGATGTGCCTTTAATGTGCATGAATAGCTGTCAGACCTACGCAGTCAGTATAGTTTGTGCCAATTGTAACACTAGACTCTATGACTCTAAAATGACAGCATAATCCCGAGAAATTAACCTTTTTGGACTTGTCGAAAAATGCATTCTTAATTTGTTCCAGCGTAGCGTCCGGTTTCACCCCGAGAAGTTCATAGTAATTGGCTGATGACCTATAAACAGAATGAGAGACGATTAAAACAAAACCACCCTGGTGGTTGCCAGGGTGTTGCCATGGTGTTTTTGGTTGTTGTTGTTGTTGGGTGGCAGATAGGGTGTTCACACACCCATGTTTCTATAATATTCTGGTCTATAGATATGACGACATCAGCTCTGAAGGATGCATTTACATAAATGCTCTGAATCACACTTTAAAGAATATCAGCTCACATTCAGACATATGAAATCAAGTAAATTCAAGTACATTTTAGTTTCAAGTCTATTTTAGACAACTTTAGATTTTCTCTCTTCACAAAATCTCAATGCAAAAAGTGAATTTCTTCATCAGTTTTACTGTAAAAATACGATCTAAACCATACATTTAATTAAGAAGAAAAATTACTTAAGATATTAAGTCTTCGTTTTCTGATAAATTTATACTTCAAAAGAGAGAAAAATATCTGCCAGTGGAGTAATTTTCCTTTGAAATAAAGTTTATTTGGCTTGTCCCACAGGCAGACTTTTTTCTTGATTTAAGCATTAACTCAATTTTTTTTTTTTAAATCACAGAAAATATTATGTCAAATCTAATTCAGCTGCTCAAGTAAAAGTATCTTGATTAAAGAATGTTTAGATATTTGTACTGGAAAACAAGACAAAAATACAGAGTAAGAAATTCACATTTCGTAGTGATGTGTCAAATTTGTTTTGAGCATTTGAGCTAAACTATTTTGATCCTGGCAGCTGCATGTATTATTACTGCTGAAATGAAAACAGGTTTCATCCATAACAGATAAATAAAGTTTGGTGGTGCGTACCTCTGCGCAGTACAGAGTGAGAACAGCCTCTGAGAACTTTTACAGTACAACAAACAACTCTGACAGAAACGAAGCTGAGCCATCAACTGCATGATGCTCAGAAATAAACTCAATGATGAATCTGAAGAACAGGGGAGAGATATGTTATGTTAGCACAGATAAGAAATAAACATACAACTAAATCAGATCTTTATTATGGTAAGAGAAATTCGTTTTTTGGGTGTTTTGTTTGATATTTTTCTGTGGTTTCAGCATATTCAATGTATCCTGCGTTTGGTTGCAGTTTCAGGATGTTGAATGTGGCCTGTCGGAGTGAGGCTTTATTATGTTGTCTTTAAGTTTGAGCACGCTGAATGCATGTTGTGTTTGGATGAAACTTTATCACGATGAACGCTTGCTGCGATTGGACGAAACCTGATTGTGTTCAATGCATGTTGTGTTAGCTTGAAGCTTTATCATGCTGAATGCACATTTCGTTTGAGTAAGGTTTTATCATGATGAATGCATGTTTTGTTTGAGTGAAGCTTTACATGTTGAATGCGTGTTGTGTTTTGGTGTGACTACATACCGCTCAGCAGGATCCCATTGAAATGCAGGCGGTCAGCAGCTCTGCAGGAGATCCTGAATGGACACGAGAGATTACACAAAAACATATCATGTTTTATATCATATTTTAGGCCTTTAAATCTACCCCTGTTTTCACAGACAAGGCTTAAGCTAGTCCCAGACTAAAATGCACTCAATTTTCTAAGGCACGTTTTAAAAAAGTGACTTAAATGTCATAATTAAACTAAAGCCTAATCCTGGCTTAATCTTAACCCTGTCTGTGAAACTGGGCGCTATTCTTAAATTAATCTTAATTACAATCACTACACCCTAAACCATTGTATAGTTATGTGTGGACATAATTAGTTAAGTTTGGCCTCCACAATGTAGATTTTTCAAGTCTTCAGGACCACATACACACCAAATTAAGGTAATGCAATGCATATGTTTCCTGTCCAAACATCTACATTAACTTGTCCAAACATCTAACTAAACATCATAAATCTGAACAACAATTTATCCAATAGGAATCTATGCCCAATAAATAATAAACCGAGTAGATGTCAAAATCTAGTGAGCTGCCTAACTAGGCAACATTTTCAGCACCAAACACGGCTGTCTCGTAACTAAAAAGCTGTCTAGGTAGTCAGTTCTCTTGGTTTGAGACAGCCATTGAAAGTTAACTCAAATTTGCCGGTAGCTAATGTAATCAATAAATCGCAAGTGTATTTATATGCCAAATAGTACATGATCTTAAAACGTTTGTAAACAGTGTCTTAAACCATCTGATAAATGTTTAGTATCAAATTATCAGTTCGTGTTAGAGAAATTCACTTTCTACTCATGCTAACTACTAGCTTAGCTGCAGTGCTAAAAACAACAACAACAAACTCAAGGGAAACGTGTAGCTTAGCAGACAAACACTGATCAAACGTGCTGTAAATCTCATTAGTCACAAATCAGCTGATTAAACACAAATAATGGTGTCACCTTCATTCATGGACACGCGCGGGTCGGCTGTGATCATGTTCTGCGCGCTTTCATAACGCCTAAACAGCGCTGTTACATAAGTGTTTCATATCAGACATACAGCTGCTGTTTGCACTTTTACCTGTTCTCAATAGCTTCACTCTTTATTTACACTAATAATAAAACGATACATTTTAGATATATACACAAAATAAAAAATAGTTTATCTAGCCGTTCATTACTTGCATATTTGTGAATAATAGTGCAGTAATTTCAGGGATCCTGGATACAGACTGTAATATAACAATTCAATATATCTGGGTCATTGAAATAAAGCTTACAAAAATTTGTTTTTTTAAAACCATTTTCAAAACTGATATAATGCATATTTTTGAGTCATGAACAATGTGTTTAAACAAGTTTCAATAAACAGTTTTTTTATATATATACCAGGCGGTATAACCCAGAGCCTCTGGTATAACCAAATAGTTTTGTGTGTATACTGTAGTTGTACCACCTGACATGGAACCAATCAACCCATACTGGAAATGAGCAGTTTTTACCAGTACTTGAGAGATCTACAAACCTTTTCACTCTGCCACAAGGATCAGTTGAGCTCCTCTGGATGATGTATTATCATATTTACTGTTAATACCTTGTCTATTCACAATAAAAGTGTCATGATCTATAAACGAGACTGGAAGCAAAAGCAGGTACTCAAAGATTTATTGGTCAGATAACACGAACACAGAAGGATGACACGGGCGTGGACGGATGACGCAGGAACTTTGATGGCCAGTGAAGAATCCGTGATGTGAAGTCCGTGCAGAGAAGAATCCGTGACGTGCGATCCGTGAGGTGAGGAATCCGTGCAGTGAAGACACGAAACGACAATCCAACACCGAGACAACGAATCCACAACAACACGACGAGGCAAACAGCAGGAGAACGGAACAGGAACACACACGAGACATCAACCAACGATCTGACAAAGGGAATGAGAAAACGGTGAGTATATATAGAGGGATGAGATCGGCTGCAGCTGGTGATGAGATGATGAACAGCTGGAGCGGATCAAGGAACGTCACTCAGTCACACCCACTACACACGTGCTTTCATACAACAACATAAACACGAGACAAGAAGGAACCAGTGGTTTGTATACCGTGACAGTACCCTCTCTCCTAGGAACGCCTCCTGGCGTTCCCAGCCTCCTTTACCTGTCGATTGAAATCATCGATCAGAGAATGATCCAGGATGTCTCTGGCAGGTACCCAACTTCTCTCCTCTGGACCGTAACCTTCCCAGTCCACCAAGTACTGAAACCCACGCCCCCTCCGCCTAGAATCCAGAATGCGATTTACCGAATAGGTGGTATCCCCATCTACGAGGCGCGGCGGTGGGGGAACCGGGACTGGCGGATTAATGTGAGCATGAAATACGGGTTTAATTTTGGAAACATGAAACACGGGATGTACCCTCCTGTACGCTGGAGGTAAACTAAGGCGGACTGCCACCGGACTAATGATCTTGGTGACAGTGAACGGGCCAATGAATTTGGGAGCAAGTTTATTGGAGACGGATCGGAGTGGAATGTTCCTGGTAGAAAGCCACACTTTTTGACCAACGACGTATACGGGAGGCTTTGACCGGTGGCGATCGGCCTTAGCCTTGGTGCGCGCCCCCACTTGGAGTAAAGTCTCACGGGCTCTAGTCCAAGTGCGGTGACACCTCTGGATTAAGGCGTGGGCGGAGGGGACCGCGACCTCGGATTCCAGACTGGGAAAAATAGGTGGCTGGTAACCTAAGCTACACTCAAACGGAGATAGGCCCGTGGCCGACACTGGTAATGTATTGTGGGCGTACTCCACCATAGACAGCTGTTGGCTCCAGGAGGAAGGATTCCTGGACACCATACATCGCAACGCTCTCTCCAGATCTTGGTTGGCTCTCTCGGTTTGGCCATTGCTCTGGGGATGAAACCCTGAGGACAGACTAACCGTCGCCCCCAGTAACTTACAAAATTCTCTCCAAAATTTGGACACAAATTGGGGTCCCCTGTCGGAGACCACGTCCATCGGGAGGCCATGTAAGCGAAAGACGTGGTCAACGACAGTCAACGCTGTCTCCTTAGCTGAGGGTAATTTGGGTAAGGGAATTAAGTGAGCCGCCTTCGAGAACCGGTCCACCACGGTCAAAACGACTGTGTTACCCTGGGAGGGCGGGAGGGCGGTGATAAAATCTAGAGCGATATGGGACCAGGGTCTCGAAGGGACAGGCAGCGGTTGAAGGAGCCCATCTGGAGGTCGATTGGAAGTCTTACCAGTGGCACAAACCGAGCAAGCCAAAACAAAACTGTGAATGTCACGAGCCATGAGAGGCCACCAAAATCGTTGCTTTACTAAAAACTTAGTACGATTGACACCTGGATGACAAGCCACGTTGGAACCATGACCCCATTGGATAACGTCGGACCGTAATCCCTCCGGCACAAATAAACGATTCGGTGGGCAACCGGGCGGAGGCATTACCCCTTCTAAGGCCGTCTTGACCTTCGATTCGACCTCCCATACGAGTGTGGAAACAAATAGGGTCTCCGGTAAAATGCACTCGGGAGTAGACGGGCGTTCGGAACGATCAAAAATGCGAGATAAAGAGTCGGGTTTGATGTTCTTAGAACCCGGGCGGTACGAGAGGGAAAAATCAAAACGACCGAAAAAAAGTGCCCACCGAGCCTGCCTGGAGTTCAGTCTTTTGGCGGTTTTGATGTACTCTAGATTCTTGTGATCGGTCCAGACGATAAAAGGTACCCCCGCACCCTCCAACCAATGACGCCATTCCTCCAACGCAAGCTTGACTGCCAACAGCTCCCTATTACCAATGTCGTAATTGCGTTCCGCTGGGGACAAACGATGAGAAAAAAACGCGCAGGGATGCATCTTGTCGTCTGCGGAAGAGCGCTGGGACAGAACTGCTCCTACCCCCACCTCTGACGCATCGACCTCCACCACGAACTGCCGTGAAGAGTCAGGGGCAACGAGGATGGGAGCTGAAACAAAGCGGCTCTTGAGTTTGGCAAATACAGCCTCGGCTGTATCTGACCACCTGAACGGAGTTCTGGGGGAGGTCAAGGCAGTCAGAGGTGCGGCTAGTTGGCTGAAATTGCGAATAAACCGCCGATAGAAATTGGCGAACCCCAGAAACCTCTGTAGGGCCTTACGGGAATCTGGGCTTGGCCACTCTACCACAGCCTTAACCTTCTCAGGGTCCACCCGCATTCCCTCAGACGAAACGATGTACCCTAGGAAAGGAACAGACTGTGCATGAAAATCGCATTTCTCCGCCTTGACAAAAAGCCCATTCTCCAACAACCTCTGAAGCACTCGTCGGACGTGTTGCACATGTTCCTGGAGAGACGAGGAAAATATCAATATGTCATCCAGGTAGACATATATGAACTGATCGATCATGTCTCGCAACACGTCATTGATGAGTGCCTGGAAGACTGCTGGGGAGTTGGACAGCCCGAAAGGTATGACCAAGTATTCAAAGTGCCCCCTGGGGGTATTAAAAGCAGTCTTCCATTCATCCCCCTCCCTAATGCGAACCAAATGATAAGCGTTACGCAAGTCCAATTTCGTGAAGATGGATGCTCCCTGCAACCTCTCGAAGGCTGAAGACATCAACGGCAAAGGATAAGTATTCTTTACCGTGATGTTATTCAACCCCCGGTAATCAATACAAGGTCGTAGAGACCCATCCTTCTTCCCCACAAAAAAGAACCCCGCCCCCGCTGGAGAAGAGGAAGGGCGGATGAACTTGGTTGCCAGAGAATCAGAAATATATTTCTCCATAGCCTCCCTCTCCGGGACAGAAAGCGAATATAATTTGCCCTTAGGCGGAGACTTACCTGGCAGTAAATCTATAGCACAGTCATAGGGACGATGCGGAGGAAGAGAAGCAGCCCGAGACTTACTGAACACTTCCTTCAGATCGTGGTACTCCTCGGGCACGTTAGACAAATCCCCTGCCTCCTCCTGAAACACAAAAACAGGCACAGACGGACAAGCAGACACGAGACAAGACTTATGACATTCCTTGCTCCACTCCAACACGGTTTTCTGATGCCAGTCCACTCGGGGGTTGTGACAGATGAGCCAAGGATGTCCGAGAACGATGGGTGCCAGGGGTGAATCCAATATGTAAAAAAAAATAGTCTCTGAGTGATTGCCTGAAGTAATGAGAGTGATGTCCTCAGTGATGAAAGAAATAGTGGGAAGTTCTTGACCATTTAAGGCATGTACTGCAATCTTCTGTGTGAGTGGTTTGAGGGGAATCTGACATCTGTGTGCAAAGGTGCTATCTATAAAATTACCTTCCGCCCCAGAGTCCAGAAGTGCCCGACAGTCCTGTTGGTGAACTGACCATCTCAGTCTTACCGGAAGGAGGGTAGATGTGGATGAGGTCTTCTCGGCGGAGATCCCACCCGATAGTAGCCTCATACTTACTATCGGGCTTGGCCTTTTACCGGGCAGCTGTAGGCATAGTGTCCCGCGCCACCGCAGTATAGGCAAAGACCCTGGGACCTCCGCCTCTCCCTCTCCTCCCGGGAAAGCCGAGCTCGACCCACCTGCATGGGTTCGTGATCGAAGACTGGGCCGACCGCGTCCCTGCCACTGGACCGTTGAGTCTCTCCCGGTGGACGGAAAGATGAAGTTCTTCCTCCGGCTCTACAAAGTCTAGCGTCCACTCTAAGAGCCAGCTCAATCAACCCGTTCAGCGACGTGGGGAGGTCCAGGGCGTAGATCTCCCTCTGGACGCGGTCAGCCAACCCATGCAGGAACATATCCCACTGCGCCTCCTCGTTCCAATGGCATTCGGCCGCCAGGGTGCGGAACTCGATGGAATAATCCGAAACCGGCCTCTCCCCCTGGCGGAGGTCGGCCAACACCCTAGCGGCCTCTCTCCCAGCGACGGCTCTGTCGAAGACCCGCCTCATCTCTGCTGAGAGTGCCTGGAACGAGGCACAGCAAG